TGCTCAAATTACTGCTTTAACAATCAGGCACTTTAGGTAACTTGAGAAGAGGTCATAGTAAGCAAAGCAGAATGCCTTCTCACCTCTTTTCATGTAGGCGCCATCCCTGCGGGGATCTCAGTGCTGCACATCTGACAAAAAAGAAGTGGGGTAGCATTTATTCATCATTTGTTTCCTGCTACGTTTGAGTGGACGAAGTGTCATTGCCTTATATTCTGCCTGTATCTCTGACACACAATTCAGCTGGATGGAATGGATGGATTGCTTTTGGGGTGGAGTGAGAATGGGTGGTATATAAAAATCTGTAGGAAGAATCTATAGATCTGCAAATCTGTAGAATTAGGCCACAAACAGCCTCTCTTTTTTGGTACAAACTCCACCTGCTTAGTCACGAATTTTGACCAGCTCTGTTTGCTCAGCCATTCCTCAGTATGGTTAGGTTCTCCTATCTATTAAAGGACCTCACTGCTGTTTTCATGCAAGTCTGTTTTCTCATCAGTTAAAACACTTTAGTGTATAACTGTTACTTTTTCACTGTATGTGGGGCTATTTTGCATAAAAATTATTGCATTTCGAGATCATTATGAGATCAGGCAGCAACTCCAAATTCATTTCCCCTAAGCCACAAAACCTTGAAGTTGCCCAATCCCTGAAAACAGGAGCAAAACTGAAATTATTGACCATGTTGGATCCAGTATGGTAGCTGCGTACAGGGCTGGATTTAGGTCTGATGAGGCCCTAAGCTACTGAAGGTAAGGGGGCCCATTATATGTCCAGCTGTCCTTTGTCAACAACAAATTGTCACTGTTTTTTGTGTTGAATATATGCTATATGGTAATTTATGGACCTAATAGGTATCTAAAGCCATTTGCACATAACAAAATATGTATTTTATCAAAGTAATTGTTGAACTGAAATACAATTAAGAAGAAGTATATTAATAGTGAAATACAATTAAGAAGAAGTATGTTGGGGGGGGTGCAAGAGAGTGGGGCCCTAAGCTACAGCTTGTTTAGCTTATACGTAAATCCGGCACTGGCCATTAAACATACAGCCATTTGGGATTTTTAAAAACGAGTTTGGACTCAGCACATCCAATACAAAACCACTTCTGTTAAAAAGGTTTGAAAAGTTAAGCATCCAGCCTCCAACCTGATTCTTGTGGGCAGGAGAAACATAATGCTGGTCGATAGAGGCAAGGCAATAATGAAAAGGCTTCTTCATCATTATTTTTTGCTATTTATAGCACCATCAATATGCTTGGTGCTTTGCAGTTGGACAACAAAAAATGAGACTAACAAAGGAAGGATATCTGTTCAGTTGCATGTAAAGATGGGGGAGAAGTTTGGTTTGAATGTTAATGAGAACTTAACGAATCCATACTTTCCAAAACAATATGTGATCCAAAATACAGCTATCCTTCAAAATTTGCACCTCTCAGAATTTTCTGATGCAGTTTTTCAACCAAATAATTTGCAGGAAAATGTGTATGTTATGGGAAAGTGTGCTTTAAAAAGCATGTATTAGTGAGCACAACATATAAAATGCATTATATTGGGGAAAATTGTTTGCAAAAATGCATATATTAGGAGAAATTAGGACTAAATGCTGGCAAATTTTCATAAGGATTATTTCTTTAAAATAAACTAACATTGCAGATTGAGGCAGAACTGTGAACTGATCTTGAGACGGAAAAAATGAGAAACTGAAATTCATCCCTCTCTAGTTACATCAGGGGATGGAGATTAGAAGACCTTCCCTCGCACATTAAGAGCACATGAAGGAGCACACAGATGTTGTAAAGGTGTGGTGATGTGTCCAGGAACAATTCCATTGAAGAAGCTAAGAGTGGTTACCCAGACCTCACTGCTGGTTGCGAAGGGGCCCCCATGGTAATTCAAGCTTCAGGGGCCCCCAAAGGTAGGTCCGCCAGCCACTGATCTGAACTCCTCTGGACTGAGCATACAGAAATTTGGCAAATTCCCCTTTGGTGTGGCAGATTTTAATACGGCTGCCAGAATGTTCAAATTAGGATTCGGATGTACTGGAACCATATTTTCCCCATTATCCCACTTCCTTTAGTACACTGGTGCTGACATTACTGATGCCTAGTTATGCAAAGAGATCCAAGGCTTTAAGCCTTATTATATATGTTGTGTAAGCCGCTCAGAGTGTCTGGGAAAACCTAGCCAGATGGGCAGAGTATAAATAATAAAATTATTATTATTATTATTATTAAGCTGAAAACATCTGAGGTTGAGTGATTACGTGGGTTGAGTGCAAAGGCAAAAGCAGATCTGTCAAGTCCAGAAGCAAACATTGCCTTTTCTTAAGAAATTTCAATTGGCCTATACTGTATTCATAGTTTCAAGGTTTGTGGTTCAGTCTTGACACAAATGCTCCATCACCTAGGCAATGAAACTGGCTGCCATAGAAACCTCAAGGCTGGATTACTCATCAGCTGCTTTTTCAGAAAGCAGATGGCTGCCTTTTCGCAGGAGGTATTTAAAATAGCTGTTATCTTATGGCAGGATGAAATCAACTTCATATGGGTTAAGTCTGTTCATTTAGATTTGTGGCCCATCCTTTCCTGTGGTTTCAGGATAGGTGATACAGTTACAGGTGCACAAAGATGGACCCCTATGCCAAAAAAATCCCTGAGCCAGTGTGGTGTAGTGGTTAAGCCAGTCTTGTAATCTGGGGAACCGGGTTCGTGTCTCCACTCCTCCACATGCAGCTGCTGGGTGACCTTGGGCCAGTCACACTTCTTTGAAGTCTCTCAGCCCCACTCACCTCACAGAGTGTTTGTTGTGGGGGAGGAAGGGAAAGGAGAATGTTAGCCGCTTTGAGACTCCTGAAGGGGAGTGAAAGGCGGGATATCAAATCCAAACTCTTCTTCTCTTCTGAATTCAGTGCTGCACTCTCAAATATACTTACGTTTGCAAATTTATTAACTAGAGCTTTACCTGTAGATTACTATTTGCTTCTGGATTAATAGGCGTAGATGAGTTTTTAAGTACGATGGTGTCATAATGACCTAACTGCGGCACACACTGACAAGGTTTGAGGGCACCTTGAACCTTGTATTGTGAAAAATCCAAGTGCAAAAGATATCCGTCTCAACATCAGAAATAATGTTGTGACAATAAGGGCTGTTCAACAGTGGAAAAGTCTTCCTCGGGAGGTTGTAGACTCTCCTTCCTTGGAAGTTTTTAAGCAGAGGTTGGATGGCCACCTGTCATGGATGCTTTAGCTGATATTCCTGCATTGCAGGGGGTTGGACTAGATGACCCCTGGGGTCCCTTCCAACTCTGCAATTCTATGATTCTATATGCCACCTCTTGCTTTGGGCTGGACACTCTTCAGTTACCTCTGGTCCTTATTGCTAGAAAGAAAACAACTCTGGTTTCACCATGAAATGCAAAAGATTATGCAGCTGTTGTAATTTAGATATTATATTTTATGTGAGGGAGTCACTGGGAATTTTGGTTATTATGCACCGTATTTTTCGCCCTATAGGACGCACTTTCCCCCCTCCAAAAATGAAGGGGAAATGTGTGTGCATCCTATGGGGCGAATACAGGCTTCAGGAAGCTCTGCACAACCCTCTGGAGCCTGGCGCGAAGCCTCTGGAGGGTTGTGCAGAGCTGCCTGCCCTCCCCAGCTCCGCGCAGCTCTGCGCGACCCTCCGGAGCCCGGCGCGTTTTTATGGAAGACAATCTTACTCAGCTACGATTGATCACTAAAGAAGAAGCCTGGACTTTTGTTGTGGGGACGGGATGGGACGGGACAGAACCGACGTGACTGGTCCGTTACTGAAGTACTGTATGTCTATTGTTTTACTTGATCTTATTTCCATTGTTTTACTTGATTTGATACTGCAGTTATGAAATTAAAAGACGCCTGCTTCTTGGGAGAAAAGCAATGACAAACCTAGACAGCATCTTAAAAAGCAGAGACATCGCCTTGCCAACAAAGGTCCATATAGTTAAAGCTATGGTTTTCCCAGTAGTGATGTGTGGAAGTGAGAGCTGGACCATAAAGAAGGCCAATCGCCAAAGAATTGATGCTTTTTGAATTATGGTGCTGGAGGAGACTCTTGAGAGTCCCATGGACTGCAAGAAGATCAAATCTATCCATTTTGAAGGAAATCAGCCCTGAGTGCTCACTGGAAGGACAGATCGTGAAGCTGAGGCTCCAATACTTTGGCCACCTCATGAGAAGAGAAGACTCCCTGGAAAAGACCCTGATGTTGAGGAAGATTGAGGGCACAAGGAGAAGGGGACGACAGAGGACGAGATGGTTGAACAGTGTTCTCGAAGCTACCAGCATGAGTTTGACCAAACTGTGGGAGGCCGTGGAAGACAGGAGTGCCTAAACAACAAATACTGTACTTGCTGCTTTGTTGTTGTTTGTTGTTTAGTCATTTAGGCACTCCTGTCTTCCACTGCCTCTGTTGTTTAGTCGTTTAGTCGTGTCTGACTCTTCCTGACCCCATGGACCAGAGCACGCCAGGCACTTCGTCCCCTTCTCCTTGTGCCCTCAACCTTTCCCAACATCTGTCCTTCCAGTGAGCACTCAGGGCTGATTTCCTTCAGAATGGATAGGTTTGATCTTCTTGCAGTCCATGGGGCTCTCAAGAGTCTCCTCCAGCACCAGTACTTGTTGCTAGATGAGGCCAAAAGGCCTGTCTAGTCCAGCGACCTGTTCTTCCACGGTGGCCAACAAGTGATGCCCACAAGCAGGACTCACCCCACTTGAGCCCCACCAGCAACCATCATTCACAAGCATCCCTGCCTAGGAGCCTTCGCTCTCTCGCTTTCCCTGAGCCTCTTTGGAGTGCATCCTGAGCGCGGACTCTAGCGGCCACCTGCTCGCTCGCCAGCGCAAGACGCGCGTCCGCGGAGCCTCGCCAACTCTTGGCTTCTCCCACGAAGGCGGGGGGGGGGGGGAGAGAGAGACGCGGGAGGGGGGGCGGAGATCTAAGGCTGCACTTCCGGCGCTTCCTCCCGGCGGCGGGGTGGGCTCGACGGATGGTCCAGAGAGCCGCGTCGAGCGCAGACGAGGCGTCGGGTTTCGCTTCGGACGCTGCTGCTGCTGCTCCTGCTCAGCCATGGTGAAAATCAGCTTCCAGCAGCCGGCGGCGGCGCTCAAGCCCGAGAAAGAGGCGGCGGCGGCGGCGGCGGCAACAGGAGCCAACTATGGAGCCAAAGCCGAGGTCCTCTTGCCCCACGACTTGGTGAGTGGCGGCGGCTGGGGGCGCCTTTAGCTCAAAGGATAATGATATTAATAATAATAACAACGCATTAAATAAAGGGAAAGCGTTTCGATGTCAAGGGATGGGTTCCATTAGGGGGACTTGAAAAGAAAATGAGCCCCGGAGAGTTGCTTGGGACTGAGCCCCCTGGAATGCACAGCGCGATCGGCTGCAGAGCCCGGCCGGGGCGGGACGGGTTTGCCTGCCGGCTTTTCCCTTGCAAGCGCCGACCGGCCGGACGGGCGAGCGGAGCGGAAGAAAGAAAGTCGCCTGTAGAAAAGTGGGGCAAGATCGCGGGTTGGGGGGCGTATGATGGCGAGAGGGCGCGTCGTGGCGCGCAGCCCTTCCCGTTCGCCGGCGAGCCTTGTCCCGCGGCGTTTCCCCTTCTGCCGCAGGGTCCGGGGCTCCTGAGGGTGCCCGCCCAAGCCCCTCGGTTGCGGGGCCGGGGAGGCACTTGGAGGCGCCTGCCTTGGGCTCCTGCATCCGTAGGACGCGAGAGAGGAGTCGGAAAGTTACAGCAGGAAGAGGCCTGGCGCCGAGTTGCAGCAACAGTCCAGCAGCCCCAGCCGTAGAGGCAGCTCGTAGCTCCCCGCAGGCGGAGGCAACTTTTGCCCATCCCTGAAGTCTCGGCTTATTTATTTATTTTTCAGGAAATAACGTGCGCTTTGACCACGAGTTCTTCCCCCGCCCCACCCCCATCCGTGCACCATCATTTGAAAAACCCAGCCTTAGGAAACTGTAAAATACGTCTTAGAACTCCTGAGCTTGTGCAGATATTTTCCCCACAGAGCGTTTGTTTCTCAACATTTATATTCCACCAAGAGTCTCGAGGAAGTGCAATTATTCCCTCCCTCCGTTTTTGGTCTTCGCAAAACAACAACCGTGCGAAGTAGATTGAGGCTGAGCAAGAAACTGGTCTGAGGTGATCCAAGTGGGGATTTGAATCTGGATCTCCTTGTTTCTAATCAGACACACAAACCACTAGGCCACGCTGTTCTCTCCTGACCAGGGCCTGCTGATCAGGGAAGGGCTTCTGGGCCAAGGCAAGAGGGGGATAAGCATAGCTGTCAACTTTTCCCTTTTCTTGCGAGGAATCCTATTCGGAATAAAGGAATTTCCCTTTAAAAAGGGGAAACGTTGACAGCTATGGAGATAAGCTATCAGACATGCTAGACCTTTGTTGTCTCCCATGTTGAAGATTAAAAAAAAAAGTATGTGGGGCTTGTTGGTTTTTTTGAACCCAGGGTCCAATCCGTGGCCTAGAAAAAAGACTGTTTCAGCTGTGGTTCTCCTAGTTGAGAAACCAGCATCTCCACAGTGAGTGGTGCTTTGGGTCTCTGTTTAGATTCCCTCCACCCCTGGGGTTTGCCCTGCTGACTGTGACCTGCTGAGTTTGGGGTTTGCTGTTGATTCTTCCCCTCTCCTGCCCCCTTGAATAGAATCAGTGGTTGGCATTCTTTGGCGAGATTTCAAAATATCCAGTTACAAAGCTGAGGGAAGCAGCCAAAAGGTTTCTGGGCTATAGTGGCTGTGTCCTTTACCGCAGGGGGCTCTTGCTAGTGTTTCTCTCTATTTCAGTTCCTATCCAGCGGGTGGGTGGGGAGGTGCTGAGCTGCCTCCATGATCTCTTCTAAAATAATGGGAGCCTGACTTCATCCTTTGTCGTTTGTGTGTGCTGCATAATATCTGCCCCTGTTTTCATCACACCAGGAATCTCCGCTTGACTCCCGCAAATTGCATTGCACCGCCTCTGTTTACTCCACACAATTTCTCTTTCTAACTCGCTGTCCCGCTCCGCCCCCATGAATAGCCTGCAGGACATCCAGCATGCTTAGATAATGTTCTCATTCAGCCAGATTGCTGAGCATTTCCAGAGGCTTTCACTGACACGAGGAATGCACAGAAAACTGAGAAACGAGAAGCGTTGTAAAATGGAGGTTTGGATGACCAGGATTCTTCTACATTTGAGTTTAAAGTTTTGTACAGAGCACACACCTTTTGTTCATTTGTTCTGTTATAGCATCCTCCTTCCCAAAGGAGCCCGGGGGAAGCACTTTTCCATTCCTCCATTTATATATGCACCATTTATCTTAAATTATTGGCAGGGGTGGGGAGTGTGTTGCAATGACAGCTGCCTACTGTTTTGTTCCTGTAGATGTCTTCTTGTTGAGTGGTTCAGGAAGTGAACAAATTAAGGTCTCTCCCACTGTTGCCAGAACTGGGTGTGCAGAAGAAGCTGCTTTATACGGACCATTGGGCTACATAGCCCAGTCAGGCTGGTAGTGGCTGTTCTCTGTCTTCCCCACCATGTGCTACCTGACCCTTTTAATGCAGGTGTGGGAAAGATTTGACCCACCAAGTGTTGCTGAACTACAACTTCCATCATCCCAGCCATTGGCTGTGTTTGCTGATACGGACTGTAGTTCAGCAAGTTTGGAGGGCCAGAGGTTCCCAGCCCTGGAGATGCCAAGATCGAACCTGGAAACATCTTTGTGCAGCATGCAGAGCACCACACTTCTACCAATAAGCTATAGTCCCCATACCAGCTGTATGATCTGCACTTGTTCTCATTGGATTTGTAGCTTGGAGTTCTCTACCCAGATAAAGAACAATTCTGCACCAAGTTAACCCAGATTCTGATCCTAGGAAAGCTGAATTCCGCAATCACAACGCCATGTGCAAATTGATACAATTTTCGTAATATACTCCGCAATTTCGAATCTTTTGCCTCATTTGCCTTTGCTATTATGGGAAAATTCAAGGAGCTATGCAGGACTGTGAACTCATTGAAACTCCTCTTTAGAATCCTAAAGGCTAGAAACTTTTAAAAATCAGACCTTGTGGTTGTGGCTTCAGAATAGTATTTTCCATGGTTTCCCTCCTCTTTGCACTTGTGTGGAATAACCAGAATTATCACCATATTCACGTTGGAGAAGGCTCCAGGCACAGTTTTGCCTACTTGTAAATTTATAGTGCTAAACTGACTTTCCATGGCAACGGTCAGTGGTGACATCACTGTACCATGAGGAAGATGCTGGCAGGGATTCCTGACATGTTTTTTTCCAGTTAAAATGAAGAAAAAGATAACACAGTTTCTAACACCATTGAATGCACTACAGTGGTACCTCTGGTTAAGAACTTAATTCGTTCTGGAGGTCCGTTCTTAACCTGAAACTGTTCTTAACCTGAAGCACCACTTTAGCTAATGGGGCCTCCTGCTGCTGCCGCCACGCCACCGAAGCATGATTTCTGTCCTCATCCTGAAGCAAAGTTCTTAACTTGAGGTATTACTTCTGGGTTAGCGGAGTCTGTAACCTGAAGCATTTGTAACCCAAAGCATTTGTAAGCTGAGGTACCACTGTACTAGGATTAGTGTTCCCTTGCAGTCATCTTGCAGCCCTTTTCCAAATCCAAGGTGAAGAGAGACTTGTAAAAGTTGTTTTTATTTTTCCTTTTCTTAAAAAACTATTACAATAAAAAAACTTAAAAAAAACTTAAACTACTCTAGAATTTATTTTATGAATATTATAAAACTGAGCGAACACAAATCTGTTTCTTCTCCAAGCTATGCAGCTTGCATTTGAAAGGAGCAGCAACATGAATATTATGCAATCATTTTACTTTCTTACTTCAAGTTGAGCGCGTCGTATCTCAACTACTAGGATGTTTAGATGACTGATATTGAGCAAGCTGGGCTACAGCTTTTGTCTGAGGCTCCTCCCATAGAATTCAGAGTCAGAATCCTTGCTAATCTACTTCAAGTCACTCAGAGATCTACTAGCATATTTCATCCGACCTTCCCCCCATTTCTGCTTTGTACAGGGGAATAGGAAGCTCCATTATACAGAGTCACACTATCGGTCCATTTAGCTCCATGTTGCCCACACTGACTGACAGCAGCTTTCTGGGATTTTAGGTGGGGGACATTCCTAGCCCTACCTGGAGATGCTGGGGATTGGATCTCGAATCTTTTGCATGCACAACTGCAGGCACAAGCTCCTCTTCCTCTCCTCCCACCTGAAACCCCTTTTTGCTCCCAAAAATCTGCTTCAGAAGGTTGGGGAACTCTGCAAACCCAGGTGGGGGGAGATGAGGCAGAGGAGGATGGAGAAGTCATGTTGCACAAGCAGGCTTGCACCACTGAATGTCACTTAAGGTACAAGCCTTTAACACCTGTGCAATTTCTTCCCTCCCGCTATGGAAAGTGGTTCCAGGACAAGGAAATCTGGGTGGCTCCAGCTGCTGACAGACCATAAGCTCTTGGCACTGGGCATGCTGAGAAGGGTTGGTGGGAGTTAGAGTCCAACAACATGAAGGGACTCCGTTTCTGCCTCCTAGTTTTAGAGTCACCCTGAGGGGGCTGGGGAAACAACTGTTGGGAATTTGCATGTGTTGGCCTCCCTCTCAACCCACTCCCCTTTCTACATGACGGTGTACATTTGTCTTCCACTATGGGCTGATAATCCTGCACTTCTCTGATAGAGGAAAAAGGGTTAAGCAGCCAGGGTTTTATTGAATTCCCTTGTTCTGATTGCACACCCACACGAATCAGCACCCTGCCACCTCTTTCATTCGTGCAGTGACAAAGCTATGCATTAATTAGAAAAGCAGCTTTATTGGGTATTTTGTGCATGGCTTGCTGCCTGTAGCCTCTGCTTAGGGCAGGTGGGTGAGCATTGTTTCTCAAAGCACATGGCTGGTGTCAAGGATGCAATCAGACACATCATTGTGATTGTTCTCTTCAAGTGTCTTCATTTGAGATCCCAAGTGGCTGTGACTCTCTGTGGCTTTGCACGAGTACCACATTTCATATGCTCTCTGCTGAAAAACTGCTTGCCGTGAAGACTGCATGTAGTACCTTTTCCATTCTAAAGCAAAGCTTTTGAAACAGTCTGTATGCATAATTGCGTCCTGGTTTCTGTTGATGTGAGGAAACAAGAGCCATAGTGTTAAGGCTGTGCTCTTGACTTCCTGGGGTCATGAGGATCTAGCTCAAAGCCAGGTGCCAGCAAGAATTCTTGGGTGCTAGAGAGGACAAGGTGAGAGGTTATAGGCAGTTTACATGTGCAGCAAGAATAGTTCTCCCCTCCACCTAGCTCAGGATGTCCACTCCAGTAATCTATAACTTTTCCGACCTGGAACCTGCCCTCAATTCACACATGCCTTTAGGGACCCACTTCTTAATTTTTCTTCACTAATACATTAGTACGGCCCTAGTGTTGCTGTTGCAACACATATTAAATCAGGCTGTGCCCAGTAGTGGGTCACACGATCCACTGGGTAAGACAAATGGCATACACTGACTAGTAGCGACACTCCAGCTTTTCAAAAATGGGACATTCCTGGCCCTACCTGGAGGTGCTGAGGTTCGAACCTGGGCAAAGCAAGCAGTGATAGAAACTCAGATATATAAACTAATTGCCAAATGGCACCTTAACGTTACGTTTGCCACAATGGAATGTCTAGGGGCAATGAAATTATTTCATTGCATTTCTAAAGGTAAAGGGACCCCTGACCGTTAGGTCCAGTCGTGACCGACTCTGGGGTTGCGGCGCTCATCTCGCTTTATTGGCCGAGGAAGCCGGCGTACAGCTTCTGGGTCATGTGGCCAGCATGACTAAGCCGCTTCTGGCGAACCAGAGCAGCGCACGGAAATGCCGTTTATCTTCCCGCCGGAGCAGTACCTATTTATCTACTTGCACTTTGACATGCTTTTGAACTGCTAGGTGGGCAGGGCTGGAACCGAACAACGCGAGCTCATCCCATTGCAGCGATTCGAACTGCTGGCCTTTTGATCAGCAAACCCAAGCAGCATAGTGGTTTAACCCACAGCGCCACCCGCGTCCCTGTTGACACACACACGCAAATTATATATAATACACAGGCATACAACCCACCCTGTTTAGGAGGTCCAGGTGTCTTTTGTACCCTGCCTTCACAAACATCCTTATTTCACCTGCGAGTGATGCAATTGTTGGCAACATTTTCTATTGCTATCTAACCCCTCTTCTAAAAATGGATTGTTTGCCCTGCTCGGAGCAGGGACCGAGCAACGGGAGCTCACCCCGTTGGGGGGGATTCGAACCGCGACCTGATCGGTAAGCCCTAGGCTCTGTGGTTTAACCCACAGCGCCACCCATTCCATTTCTACACCGCTTTATATTTCAAAGAACAAAAAATCTCAAAGCAGTTACAAACACATTAAAACAATCCAGAATAAAACAAATTCAAGCTTCAAGGAAAATATATCAGATCCTTCTCTAAATGGCATTTTGCTTTCCCCTATTTATTTGCCTACGGCATTTATATGGCTGCCCCATAGCAAAAGTACTGTAGGAAGCCAGAGCGGTATAGTGGTTAGAGTGCTTGACTAGGACTTGGGAGATCAGGATTCAAATCCCCACTCAGCCATGAAGCTCAATGGGTTACCTTGGAGCAGGGGCGTAGCGTGGGTTGTCAGGACCCGGGGCAAGGCAAGTAATTTTCACCCCCTAACCCGTGGATTTGCGCCCCCTAACCCTAACCCCCAGATGTTGCGCCCGGTGCGGCTGGCCCCCCCTGCACCCCCCACGCTACGCCACTGCCTTGGAGTCAGTCACAGCTTCTAAACCTCACAGGGTTATTGTAGGGATTAACTGAGAAGGGAGTGAACCTGTACTCCTTGCAGAAAAAGGTAATTAATAAGCTCTTCTGCTTACTTGCTTAAGAAAGCTGGGGATGGGGCAGCCAGATGGAGATGTCTGAACCAACCTGGCATGCAGAGATCTCCATGTGGTTTCAGTTGGATCTGCACAAGTCGCAAAATGCGTCTGGCACATGGAAATTTCTAATACTGCAAAGCAGAGGCTCTGCTGCTGAGCTGCTATGAGTGGATCTGGCGCTCTTGTGCAACAAAGCCATGATAGAAACATGGAATTTTTTTGGTAAGAAAAGCAGGAAAAGGTGCTGGAAGGTTATTGTATAACCTCTATTCAAGCAAATTGGAATGAATGAACTGCAGTGTGGTGTGACCTCTGTAAATGTTGTTCAAACAGATCAGGATGAACGGTGAGTAATGGGGTTGTCTGGAAGAGCTCTTAGCAACATTTGCTAAGGACATATAGCGGCACTGAGATGCTGGTGGACATGCCCACCACTTCAAGAATTCATTGTTATGCTGCTCAGGAAACTGTGTGCCTGTTCTCCAAACCCATGTGTTTTTTTCTAGGCAGGGGGCTCTTAACCAGCATTGCCTGCAAAGCTCTCAATGCAGAACAGAAATAATCTGCCAAACTCACAAAATGCGCACATTCTCTGTGAGCACATTTTAGCTGAGGTCATTTTCATATTGCAATCTTAGTACAATATATAAGCCCTTTGGGAGCTGCAGACTGTAGTGGAAGAAATAAATAAATGAGGAAAGAATATTGAGGTCCCAGCAGAATAGAAACGGGAAGATTTCAGGGCAAGTCATAAATAATGATGCCGTTCCCTCTGTGTAATTGAATGTTCCCATCCCTGAAAAACAACAACAGAGGACCAAAATGTGATAAGAGGTGAAGGGCTGAGTGTCCTTTGCACCTTATTTGGGGGAAATGGTCTAGGATGGCAACAGCTGAAAAATGAAACAGATGAAACAGCTTTGGAAAGCTAAGTGGGCAGGGGAGATGAAGGGACTTCTTTCTGACGGCACTGAACTTGGGTAAACTTGCTTTAATTTCCTTCCTCTTGTTTACATCAGCGGAAATCTCATTGATCAAGCCCAGATACAAGCAACTGTAAGCTTGGCTGTCGCTTATTACATCTAACCTTGAACTTTATCAATGGCAACTGATTTCCTGCTGATAAAAAGGTCGCAAATGACTCTGGGGTTGCGGCACTCATCTCGCTTTAAAGGCCGAGGGACCTAGCATTTGTCCGCTTCCGCAGACAGTGCCCCCCCCGGGTCATGTGGCCAGCATGACTAAGCCGCTTCTGGCGAAACCAGATCAGCACATGGAAACGCCGTTTACCTTTCCGCTGGAGTGGTACCTATTTATCTACTTGCACTGTGTGCTTTCGAACTGCTAGGTGGGCAGGGCTGGAACCGAACAACGGGAGCTCATCCCATTGCAGGGATTCGAACTGCTGGCCTTTTGATCAGCAAACCCAAGCGGCATAGTGGTTTAACCCACAGCGCCTCCTGCGTCCCTTTGACACACACACGCAAATTATATATAATACACAGGCATACAACCCACCCTGTTTAGGAGGTCCAGGTGTCTTTTGTACCCTGCCTTCACAAACATCCTTATTTCACCTGCGAGTGATGTAATTGTTGGCAACATTTTCTATTGCTATCTAACCCCTCTTCTAAAAATGGATTGTTTGCCACTGTTAGTTCCCTGTAGCAGGCAGTTCCACAGGTCAGCTTTACTCAACCTTAGCGCAGACATTGAGTTCTGGGGGTATTGTGACTCCTGAAATTCTTTTTGTTTTAGGCAAAATGCGCTGACGCAGAAACTCCTCGCAAGTATTTTTAGTAGCCTCCTGTAGCTTCTCTCCATCTCCTTTCACACTTGTACTCTGTGCCTACCCCAAATCTGACAGTTTCTTTCATCCTTCCTACCTGGGCCATTTACATTCACTTCTTCCTCCTAACAGCTTCCATGTTTTATCCCCATCTTCTCTATTCCCAGTTTATTACTCTCGCTTTTGGAGATGCTTCTGCTAGCACCTGCCCAACCCAAAGTATCACATAGCCAGGGCTGGGTGGGTTATAGCGCAGAAGCTTTCCTGCCTGAAAGTGGGTTGGGGCTCCCTAGTAGTCCCTGACCCACAGCTGGAAAAAACATGGCTCTAGACGGATTTCCTATTAATAATGAATATATTTCCATCCGTGTTTTCTCCCTGAACCAATCTAGCATCGTTTCCAAGGAAAGAAGAAAAAGAAGAAGAAAATGTCTCAGAATAAATCAGTCAGTCCTGGTGTGTGTTAATTTATTAACCTGCCCTAAAACGGGCCAGATGTTTTTCATGATCCTTTTGTTTTATAACAAGTTTGGGAAAGCCTGCCTTTTCATAGCTTGTTTGTTTTTTTGCCATTCTGTGCCTGCCGCTCGTTGCTCTGATTGGTTTTCTGCAGCAGACTGTGCACCAAGCTGATCCACTCCTTCCTTTATTGGATCGTACCCTCCTATATATCCTGCCTGCCAACTGGGACGGACTTAAAATGCCAGAGCATGCTTCCTGCAAGCCAGCCAGGGAGACTATTCTCACCCGCTTACTTCAAGGCCCTCCCAGCTCCGACTATGCCCACCCCACCCACTCTGTGGAGTATCTGAACTGTGGAGTATCTGTGGTGTTCATGGAGCTCAGCCAAGCTACACAACCTGCCTTGTTGATAAGTTTATTATTTTTCTTCCTTGCCGCCCCGGTGGAATGCTCGCTTCTCGCTTCTGCCGAATTGCATATGTCTGTTGCATATAGGGGCTGCTGCAAATGAGCTCATTTAATGTTTTCGTGCAGTGCATCCTGAGCCGTACCTTGTTTTAAGGATTTGCAGCCACAGGCTTGCTCTCAGCAGTGACCCTTCATTGTTTTCCTAGACTGTGTGCCTGATGTTACTGTGTTGAATTAGCATTATCATTGTGCAGGCTGATCTCATGAGCGCTGGAACACTGATGTAATGCCACACGCCGGATTCCAGTTGCCCGTTAGAAATTTATTTATCTTTGCCCCTCAGATGTGTCCAAGGCAGTGTGCAAAGCTTAAATTAGAAAAGGTTAGTTAGCAAAACAGGACCTGAAACCAGTCTAGTGTCGTTTCGTTAAGTACAGATGGAAGAAACCACAGTTTCCTCAAGTTATGGACATAACAGGAAATTGTGGTTTATTCAGAACTGTATGTGAGTTTGCAACCTACAGCCTTTGCATGTGAACAAGGAGAAGAGATGGGAGGACAAAGCACCCAAGGCTCTTTGCACCTTCTTCTTTGTAACTAAACTAAACTAAACTAAACAAAAATGGTTCACTGTTACTTTTGAGTCCTGATTACTATATAAACGAAGCAACAAAATTATTGTATGCTACATAAAATAAAAACAAGTTACAGGATTATGCAATAGTGCCAAAGATCAAAATGACTATGAATTAAGGAGGACAAATTCTGGATTTTTTTTAAATCAAAAGTTATGTATTCTTTTCTGATTTTTTTGTGACATGGTTTTTGAATATTACAAAACATGATGTTTGTGTAATTACTATTAATTGTTTTCTGTAGTGTGTCCAAGAGACTCAACAGGGACAAAAATATTAATAGCAGCATTCAAATAAAATATGAGCCACTTGGTCTGCAGAAACATACCCTCCAACATTTAGCCACTGAAAAAAGGGACATCCCATTCCATAATGATAATTTTACCATTTATACCCCACACATCTTATTGGGTTGCTCCAACACTCTGGGCAGCTTCCAACATATATAAAAACCTAATAAAACATTAAACATTAAAAAATTTCCCTATACAGGATTACCTTCAGATGGCTTGGGGGGGGGGGGTTGAATAACTCCATACCCTCCAACATTTCTCCAGTGAAAATAGGGACATCCTAAGGAAAAGTGGGATATTCCGGGATCAAATCAGAAACCGGGATGGCTTCTCTAAATCGGGGACATCCCTGGAAAATAGAGACACTTGGAGGGTCTGTAGAAACATCATATATGTATAGGGATTCCATAGTAAGTAAGTACAGTGTCCATATTGCTGAGGGGGATGCTGAGGCTGAAGGAGAATGACTTGCTTAAATCTACCTAGTGAGCTTATGGCAGGGGCAGAATTTGAGTCGATGCCTTCCTGGTTCAGAACACACTGTCTTTACTGCTCTTGACTACATCACAAAATATAGTACAGAATACAAATCACACACTAGCAGTAGCATACCTGTTTGCACACTACCTGTTTTCAAGCTTTGCTTTGTTTGCTTGGCACAATTTGGAAACAATAATAAACAAAAAACTGAAAAAGGTCTGCTGTTCATCATGGGAAGCAAACTTTCTGAAATGTTTTACTCTGTATTCCCGTCTTGACTCCTCTTATCTTCTGAAAATATTCTATTCAGCACTGAGAAATCCTGATCAGTGTTTAAGCATGTCTTTCATTGCCCATACCAATGTTTTTGTTACCTTGTGTCCTTCTTTTAAACAGGAGGAGCAGCCCTTGCCTTTTCCAGTGGAGACCAGGAAGCCTCTTAGTCGCATCTTCTACTGGACGATGATGATGCTGTTGTTGCTCCTCGGCCTGATTTTGACATCGATGTATGTCTACAGATACTTCTCTTATACTTTCCCAAATCAGGTATGTATGGGGCATTGTGAAGGGTCTCCACCTCGTCCCCCCAGGATTCTCAAAGTTCATGTTGACTTAACCTATTGCCATATCTCCATTAGTCATTTGATTCCTTCATCTCTCCCCCCCGCCCAAGGTTCATTTATCATTCATAGCTCACTTTTGCTTCCTAGGGAAGCCCAGATCCCTAAACAGCAGACAAAAACAAAAAGCCAGAATGAAAGATCTCTGCTGTATATAACAAAATGCAGCATAGTTCAAAATATAAAACACGACAAAGGCAAATTCATATCAAAGCAGTGTCAGCAAAACAATAAAACTGTTAGATACATAAGAATTAATTAAACAACAATCTTCTGACCTTAATGTTCCCATCCCTTTTCCATGGTACCGACAGATTATAATTTTCCTGAGAACTCCAGGGTGGAGACTGAGAGAGAGGTGGACCACAGCACTTAATTTCCCATCTTTAATATTAATCTGCAATTTTCATTTCCAAGCCCTTTGTCATTGGCACTTCTCTTTCTTGAGTACATTCCTGGCTCTCTTTTTACTCACTGGAGAGTTTGCTCTGTACGTACGCTACGGTGGAGGTTTGTTTAAAATGTGTTCTGTGAGGTGATATTTAAGCAACGCAGGTGGGAAGCTGAGACTTGTCTGGTCCCAGAGAACAGGAGGTAGGAAAAATGGGAAATGTTGTTGTTGTTGTTGTTGTTGTTGTTGTTGTTGAAGACTCATCATGTGCTTGATTTTGAGTTACATAGAAGCTTTGGGCAGAGAGGCAGCACTTACTTAGAGTCACACTTGAGAGCCAGCTGCACATCATATGCAAATGTGTGCAACAAAGCCCCAACTGTCGCTTGTTTTAAAAGAAAAGCGGCTTCAGGAGGCAGCCATGTTGAGGTTGTTTGTTGTATTTGCCTCATCTTAAGGGCCTTAACTCAGTGTGTGGGATGCAGAAAGCCCAAGCTTCAGCCCCTGGTCTCTCCAGAGGTGGGTGGGAAACACACGTCTAAAACCATGGAGAGCTCGTAGTGGAGCCTTCACAGCTAATGCAGAATTTGGTGGCCAAGACAGCATGAAGCACCGTCCGCTGTTCCTGTGTGAAAGCTTTTTCTGTGACTCTTGCAACAAAGGTCAAAGAGCCCCTGCATTTATGACCACCCTTTTTATTTCCACAGTATGGCCTGGAAGATCAGGAGCAGGAGATGCTCTGCCAGCTTTTCTATGTAGATGAATTGAGGGAGCAGCTGGAGCTGCATGAGAACGTGAGGATTTACCTCGGCGAGAATTATGAGCAGATCAGCATCCCAATGCCCCACTTTGGTGAAAGCGACCCTGCAGATATTATCCATGACTTTCAGAGGGTAAGGAACGAGCAACGTGCTACAGATATTATGACAGCTTCTGAGGAAGGGCTGCACCTTGGAGTCTCCTGAATATGCTTGTAGCAGCTTCAGAGACTTGCAGGAGTGACAGGACAGGAAGTTTTCCTGACCATGTTTTCAAAAGAGGTGCCTGCTCAGTTAGGTGTACCAGTTCCTTTTCCTAACATTACATCACAGGTATCTCCTGTAAGCAGAGCTTGTACTAGAAGGATCTTTCAAGAAGAGGATGCACTAATGGTTAATCTTTGATGTTGCATGAAAGGTACTAACGTTGCTTAAGCTGAGGGATCCTGGGTTGTTGGAGTAAACCTCTGCTGCTCTTTCACCAAGAGCAACATAGCCTCCCTTGTGTGAGCTCATTCTGCCTGTTTTTCCTTTCAGGGTCTGACTGCCTACCTTGACATCAGCTTGGATAAATGCTATGTCATTGAGCTGAACACCACCACTGTCATGCCACCTCAGAGTTTCTGGGAGCTGTTGGTTAACGTAAAGGTAGGTGGGAAATGTTCCTTATTCTCACAGGGGTGCTTTGAAGATAAAATGGAGCGGACACGTGAAATAGAATAGATAAAAATAATTGTGCACGGTCTGAAACACAGGGCAGGATTCACCTTACAAACACCAGGGCTTTTGCTTGTGCAGTTGGGACTTTCCCCCTCACTTTCTTTCCTGGAACAGCCCCTTAGTCGAGGGGGAGAAGGATGGGAGAACCCCCTGAATAGTGTGCACTGTGTGGGGACATCACAAATTGAATGAGGGGGTTGCCTGTATGTTGTAAACTGCCTTGATATACTTTATAGAACTGTTGATTATCAATATTTAAATGAAAATAAATAGATATAGTCGGTCATCCAACCTTGGATTTAACAAATATGTATTGGCAGGAAATGCGTAGTCAGCCTTGCACACATGCTATCTTCTTTGTCAGTCTCCTTCCGTGATGCAGATAAACAGATAGCTTGACTTTTACAGAACAGCTCTGCTGGCATTGGAGAACTCTCCTTAATTGACTGAGACAGCAATATTTTACAACAGGCTATTGATTTAGCTTGATGTGGCAGCACAACAGCATAGCAATGTGTTAAGATGCCCTGCTCCCATTGAGTTTTCTTAATCTCCCAGGAGATAATCAATCACTGCGTCAGGAAGTGGGTTGGGAGGGCATCTGTGGCTTGGGATGCTTGCCAGGGGAACTGCCTATTCAGCTGATGCCATTCTGATGGTATCACTGTGGGATCTCTCTGCTTGCCTCCTCTGCGGTTTTGGAATGTATAGGTCAGTATGCTGGTGGAAAGCTTGTTTGCTTAGTAGATGGTCTTGTGTTGGGGCAGGTGTCTGCTTTTAAAAATTAATTTCATTTTTTTAATGCTGCCCTATAATTGTGTAATCTTAGGGTGGCTAACAGATTTAAAATTTGGGCTGGGAGTGAGGGTTGGTTAATAAAACATAAAGCAGGACTAAAAGCAGCCCAGATACCAGAAACTTAAAGTAGAAGCAAAAGGCTTAACAAAACAAAAAGGTCTCTACCTGGCACCAAAATGTTATCTAGGTAGATATCTAGGTAGATGCCAGGTGAGCCTCTCTTGATAGGGCATTATATAATCAAGGACCAATCTCAAGCCATTTAAGGTTTTAAGGGTCAAAAACCAGTGCTTCTATTTATGCCCAGAAATGGTCTGGGAGCCAGTGAATCTGGCAACACACTGTCCTGTTTCCTAATCTCAGTTCAGCAGTGTTGCAGCTCAGTTTTGAGCTCTGAGGTTTACAGACCATCATTGGTCCTGTGCATGGTACACACTGGGAGGTTGCCCAGGGCATGGATAACTGAAGTTGGGCTATTCCTGTCCAGGTAGGGTCACAGTCGGCACCCAGCAAAGGTGCTAAAGGGCTACACCTCCTGTGCCAAATACGGTTCAAGAAGCACCCCCAGACTGCAAACCTGATTGTTCAACCCTCTCCAGAACACAACTTGCTTTGCTATCTTGTTTGGGTTGAATTTCAATGTACTGAGCATCATGCAGTCTATTAATATGTCCAGGTATTGATTTAACACCTCTTCCTCCTCGCCTGAGTCGATGAAAATGAGAAATTGGGAGTCAACCACAAACTGACTTCGCTGAAAAGCTTCCAGATGACCTCACTCTGTGGTTTCATGTAAACGTTTCAGAGCACGTAGGCAATAGAGCAAGACTCTTGTGGGGCCCTGGAGCACAAGCACCCAGAAATGAAGTGAGCTCTCTTCCAATCACAAAATATTTTCTAAAATAGTTCTGCAAGTTGAAGCAGAACTACTGCAAAGCACTGCCCTCATTTCTCAGCACAAGGCAACCTAATCCAGAAAGAAATCATGGTCTCTTTGTTTCTAAGGAGCAAGGATTGAATTGGCACAATCTGACCTATTTGGTCATTCAGATCAGATTGAGTATGAGGATACTTGTATACCCAAAGATGAATGAGGACAGAGTCCTGCACTTAGCAGGCTCAAAACCAGCTATATTTTATTATTCTGTCCTAATATTGTTTGTTGGAAGCCTGTGGGGTGAAGAAGATTAACCCCTGCTTATTAAACTAGTTCTGTTTTCTTCCACCGACACATTCAGAACCATATTGTACACCTGTGACTTTGCAATATCATTTCTGATTCCCTATTTAGTGCTTCTTAATTATAATTCTAGCGTCCTGTGGCTACATTTAGACCATTGAGAAACAAAGCGACACTGGGAAGGTGGTCTGGCTCTAAATGGAACTGCAGTTTTCCAATTCCGCTAGGTGATTTGCTTCAGAAAAACAACCACCACCTCTCTAAATGTCTTCAGTGCGCGCGCTCTCTCTCTCTGTATTTGTTCTTTTCCTCCATGCACTCCAGGGCCAACTAGCTTGATTCCAAGCCAAAGGCTAGGTGGAACAACTCTGTCTTACAGGCCCTGCAGAAAGAAATCAGATCCTGCAGGGCCCTGGTCTCATGAGGCAAAGCGTTCCACCAGGCCGGAGCCAGTGTTGAAAAGGCCCTGGCTCTGGTTGAGAACAGGGGACAAAGGTGGAGGCCCCCTAGAAGGTCTATGTGTTCATTTTTGGCCTTTTGATTTATAAAAACCAATTAAGCCATGAGAAGATTCCACCTGATACCTGTTTGTATTGATTGTCTTCAGAAAGCTTACAAAATAATGATGTTCCTGTCAGAAGTGTGCTGCTGCTCCCGGCTGGTTTTCAAAATGCCAATTAAATCCTTTGCTGATGAAGATGAATGAATGTTGCTTGGATCAAAATATTGAAGCCCTGATAAAATCATTTCTGAAGAGCAAAGATCATGGCTGTCAGGCATAGTTTCCCCCTGAAATTTAATCCTCATCAAATAATCTCAGTAATAGTTAAGATTTTGTGAATTTAATTCTGTGGTTTCAGAAAGGGGCATACCTGCCACAAACCTACATGATCCAGGAGGAGATGATAGTGACGGAACATGTCACTGACGTGGACCAGCTTGGCTTCTACATTTATGCCCTGTGCAGGGACAAAGAGATATATAGGCTGAAGCGCAGGACTGCGAGAAGACGTAAGTTTTTGCTGTTGCTTCTGGAGTTACACTGCTCAGCTGGGCTTTGAAGTCAGAACAGCATTTATCTTTGCAATTCCACAGAGGATAACTATTTTATTTAGACATTTATTAACTGCCCATCAACCATGGCCACTGGTTGGTTTACAGCAAATGTCTGAAACAGTAAAATATACACTAATGATAAATTAGAACAATAAAATCAGTAAAAACATTAAACTCAACACAATATGCATAAAACCCCTTGGAAGGCTGTTAATTCATCTAGCTGATTTACAGTAGGAGTAACTGTATGCTTTTGTAAAGGATATCATTATGATAGTCTTTATTACTGAAGCTATGTGCTTTAAAAAGAAGTTTATTTCTTTAATAGAATAAATGCCTTGATGGAGGCCAATTTTTAAAAAATGGTTATGGGGTTATTTTTGTGCTCTTGCTTCAACATCCTTGATTCTTGAACCGGTTCTATTTCAACACTCATCTGCTTTCCTCGCCACACCATGTCTTAATCTGACATTTCTTTCTACTCTCTTCCAGATATCCACCGACGTGCTGCTGAGAAATGTCATCACATCCGCCATTTTGAAAACACTTTTGTGGTTGACACAGCCATTTGCCAGAAGTTGTGAGAGCTGCACTCCCAATGTAACCCTCTTGGGCTTTTCCTCTACTCATCCGTGCAGGCGTTCTTGCTCTGTCCTTGAGAGAATGTGTCTTAATTTACTTCTTGCTCCCATTGCTTGCACATTACTAACTTCTCAGGTCACATGTGGCCAAACACTGGGCCTTGGGTGTCTTTGTTCTGCATTTACATTTAACATTCACACATCACTGGGCTTAAATTTACACAGCGACCCCAAAATGTGAGTATTGGGTTTCTCTTGAGAAAGGTAGCACAACAATCTCTTCTGAAAGAGCATGAGAAGTTTGAGAATCGGGAGGCCCTACTTCAAATCTGTACCCAACCACAAAGTTATCTGAGTGAAGGTGAACCAACCACTCACTCTCAGCATTACCAGCTTCACAATACTGTTGTGAGGATGAATGGGGTTGGTTTGTTGGTTAGGAGCTGCTTGGAAGGTGGATTACAAATGTAATAATAAAAAAGAAGAGTTGGCCTTTTTCACTAGAGTGCCACTTCCTTGTAAAGGACCCTTCTCAGCACAAAGAACCATTTGTATGAATCAATTAACAGAAAATCTGCAGTGAAATTAATTCCCTAAAAGGGCAAGGAAGCTGTATCAGTATCCTTGCAGCTCAACATAGAAATTCATGGACTTGTTATTCTAGGTCAGAGCTTTCCAAACTTTTCACGTTGGTGACACACTTTTTAGACATGCATCATTTCGCAACACAGCAGTTCAGTTTTACTAGCAAACCAGAGGCGAAACTAACCCCTTTTCAGCCTGGAGGAGCAGCGCAGGGAACATTTGCCTGCAGTCAGCACACTGACGTGTCGACACAGTTTGGAAAGCTCTGTCCTAGGCTTTACATAGCAGCATTCGTTGCCTTTCTGTGCGAGCTTGCCTGCCATTTTTTCCTCATTTCTCTGTAAGAGGCACAATCCCATAATGCAAGGGATGCGTGTACCACTGATCTGCATGCAAGATTGGTTGTGTTCTCCTGAATCTTCAGGAGAAGGAAAAGCAAACTCTTAAAATCATGAGTTTGTAGACCAGCAAGAACAAACCATTCTGGGAGATGTTGCTGGTGAAGAGGTCAATACAGCTGGCTCTCCCAGTGTCCAGATTGTCTCACCATCTCCAAGTGAAACAGGGCCCACTAGTCTTTTTACCATTGGAGAGATGACAACTGAACTTGGACCAAATGTTTATCTTGATTGACTTATCTTTGGGATCATAAATAAATGTTTCAGAATATCACTTAGCAATTCATTTTTGCCAGATGTTTATAACGGAGGTTTTGTAGATGCAACAGTCAGATTGAGCTCTTGCTTTGTAGGAATGGATTGGTTGAAATAATGATGAGGACCTCCATGCAAATAGGTAGTAGGGCTGTGATTCATGTTGCCCACCCTCCACAACAACAACAACAACAACAACAACAACAGCGAGAAAGGGATTAGTAGCACTGCAGACTGGAGGAAAGATTGGCTCCCCATTTCCTTGCACACTATATACTACCCATTAGGTTTCTAAACATCAGAAGTTGAACAGTAGATTATGATCCAGGTCCCTAGACGTCTGCTCTTGTAAAAGATTGGTTAAACAAGAAAAATCAAATGCAGTTGGACTGCAGTTACACAGTTTTCTTTTTTGTGGCAGATGGAAAAATGTGGTTGAGAACACCCCTAGACAAGTAGAGTTCAGGGAATATGAGGAGGGAGAGGGATGCACAGAAAAGAGACCAACATTCGTTTAGCAGAACTTTGCTAAACACTTCCTACACAGTAAAAATCTCCTGGAAGATAACAGAACTAAAAGTTGTGGTTGCATTTAATATACTGGAAATGCAAATTGCACAATCTGAAGCATCTTCATCATGTGTCTTGACCATTGAGGGCATTAATGGATCAGTCCCTGGGAGAACGTTGGTCCAGGTGTTGTATAGGGCATAGGATGCTTGTGTGGAGCTGGGAGATGGAGCAGGTGGACACAGGAAGAGAAGATCTGATATTTGTCAGAAGATCTGTGGCAAGGTTGTCTCCCATAGTATGTAGTGGGAGAGAACTGGGGGTCTCATTGAACAGCTCCCAGGTTACAGAAGGTCTGAGTTGTCAACATATCTATATTTCAGGAATGTGCCTGCATCTCGAATTGAACTCTTGGTGCTTCTGAACAAGGTTTAGGGTAGCTATGCATACACAAATATGTGCTTCAAGTGTCCCTATGGCATTTGCTCCCTGTAATGAAGTAGTGGCCTGGAGTGATCTGCCACTGTGCTGTCGGAAACTTGCCCACCCAAATATAGGGCATGATGACACCTTCTCTGTATGGCAAATTGAGTGGTTTAGCCAGTGTTAATAATAACAAAATGCCTAATGTCTGGCTGCTGCAAAATAGAGAAAAACTCAAAACAATGCACACATTTTGCCATGTGGAGGTGGAATCAGTGTGATTCCAATTAAAGCAGTCACAACATAGAGGCGTATTACTTATAACCATCCTTGGATTTTATTTTAACTTTTACCTGCCCATGCAAACAGAATTTTCAGCTCCTTTTGAGGTATGCACTCTGCTTGGTTAGGAGTAATGTTCAAATTCCTATTGATTTTCATTGCAATTTCATCTGAATGGTACAGATCCTGAAGGGAAAGGAGGATCATAACAGTTTCTTTAGTGAGCATCGTGGCACAGTAATAAAAATCAGGCTTGCATTTTCTTCTGCGCTGCTCAAGTTGGAAATCCAACCTTTTTGTGTTTGGTTGTGCATGTTTTAAGCCAGTCTTTAACCTTGGTAACTTTGTGCAAAACCTGAAACACATGGACAAGGCCTTAGTTCTTTGCTGGAGCTAAAGATGATTCAAAGAACAGAACATCAGTTATCAGGTGACGAGATGGGGGGAGGGTGGGTGGAACAAAAGAAAGACCATTAAATGCTTTATATATTTTGTCTGAAAGAAATCTTACCTTTTAGGAGAAATGAATGAGATAATAAAATATTTTACTTCTGGTTGCAGTTGTCTCTTATTTCTGTGTATGTATTCCTAAAGGATTCTCCCAGTGCTACTTTCCTAGAAAAAGAGGTGCCAGAACTTCTCTTACAGTGACAATGGTAGCCACTTGAGATGTGCCAGAACTGAGTTCTGGTGAGTTGCGGCTGAAATAGAGCCCTGATTATACATGTCTTCAGGCCTTGCAAAGAGGATTAATTAAGCACATGGAGGAGACAGGATGAGTGCACCAGCTCCCATGCCACCACTATTTTCATTGCCTTCCAACCGTGGAGGGAGATGGTCTGAAAGGGGGTGTTTTAGAGCTTTGAGCTTAGAGGGGGGAAAGTGGTAGGTGCAATGAATGAATGCATTGCAACACAAGTGCTTAATTTCATGCAATTCCATCAGCTGAGAACCCCCTAGTTAGACAGCACTGAATGTCATGGCCATCTGGATGTACAGTTCCTACTGCTTGTAAAGCAACAGTAGGGCAATACCTTTATTAAAGGTAAAGGTAAAGGGACCCCTGACCATTAGGTCCATTCGTGACTGACTCTGGGGTTGCGGCGCTCATCTCGCTTTATTGGCCAAGGGAGCTGGCGTACAGCTTCCGGGTCATGTGGCCAGCATGACTAAGCCGCTTCTAGCGAACCAGAGCAACACACGAAAATGCCGTTTACCTTCCCGCCGGAGGGGTACCTATTTATCTACTTGCACTTTGACGTGCTTTTGAACTGCTAGTTGGCACGAGCAGGGACCGAGCAATGGGAGCTCACCTCATTGCAGGGATTTGAACCGCCACCCTTCTGATTGGCAAGTCCTAGGCTCTGTGATTTAACCCACAGCGCCACCCGCATCCCAATACCTTTATTACAACTAACTAAATTGTCTCAAAGCAGTGAGCAGACTTTTGAGTTCCCCAAGAGGCCTTCTCTAACATCAGTCTTTCCGTCTTGTAATTATGAAACCAAAGCTCATAAACCAAAAGAGAATGGAAGCTGCTGAATCATATTTCCGAGTAAAGTAAATGTTCTGCAAGCCTAAAGCCCACCATGCATCTTCCTGTCCAAAGCATTACAATTTTGCAACATAAGAGAAAGCTTGATGAAATGCAGAAAACTGCGCCTGAATTGGCTGTGCTTACTGGTAAAAACACGGGAGTAACATCATTACAGCCAATGGATTTATATCAATATTAAATGACAAAAACCAGTACAATAATAGAGAAATTGTAGCACCCTGCTTGTGGTTAACGCTTAGCTGGAATGAAATATTCAACGCAGCAATAGAGAAATTAAAATAATAATTTATTTGTCAGACAAATAAATGAGAGACACAGTGGTATATCGATACCAAAGCTCTGCCATTCCAGCCCTGATGGCCAGCACTTATATTCCCTCAGCCCAGCCCCCTTGCTCCTCCTTTGGCTGCCTCTGTCCAATCAGCCTGGTTGAAATTCCTATTGGCTGTTTGCTAGAACCAATCATAAAAGATACACCCATTTCCTATTACCTTTTATGGGAGACAAAGAGCTATATTTCCTTCTATCCATAAATGGCAGACAAGTAGCCATATATCTTATATTTGCCTCGACCAGGCACCTTAATTACCAGATCACCTTTTGCCCTATTGCCCCTCCACTCCAAAACAAATGGCTAAAACAGATGGCTCATGGTTTTAAATTCTGTCTTAAACAGAGATCTTGGGTTCACCTTCTCACACACCATCAATGGAATAAGAATCTAACATAAGAATCTAACATTTCTTACTTTCTAAATCCTTTGCATAATTACATTTAAGCCAACAAATCTCATACATTAACATAGATAGCTTTTTAGAAGAAAAGGCCTTTTCAAAGTAAAAAGAACTCAGTAAAACAGCTTCAAAAGCAGCCTCTTTAGTTTACACCCTCCTTTCCCAGCCAGCTGCTTCTCCCATTAGCTCTTGCCCTTTAACCTTAGGAAAATATGACTAGAGTCTGATGGGAGGCACATAGTATTATTTTCTGTTAAACAATAAATCTTACTATTTACCAACTCTTAATTAGTGTTTTTGCAGCTTGATTGTATTCTGTAATTTGTAGGGTCAATGTAATCTTTGCTCCCAGCCTGTAATTTCCTTTTACAACTTTGAGGTACTGCTATAAATCAGGGGGGCCCTTGTCCAGGAGAGCAAGAAGATAAACAACTGCCAAAGTACTTAGCCAGCTGCTTTATGCTTGGCATGAAACATACAAGCATTTGAAAATATATTTTTTAAGCTCATTTTAAAATACAGGCCTTGATCAGATGCCTCAAAATCAGTTGCCTGTAAATTCAAATGCTGTATGGGTTTGGGGACAACTGCTACCTTACCACAGTCCTCATTGTGGGCCCTGGTTTGATTTACAGGAAATTCTGAACATAATGTGATTTAATTGGTGCACACAAGTCTGGATGTCCCTCTCACACAGTTTGTTTTATTTATTTAGGAACTGAAATGCCACTTTTCAAAACACAGTTTTCTCAAGGTAGCTTATAATTAACATACGACATGAATTTAAGCACACTTCAGCAAAATTGTTTCAAGGGGAGAAATTTCCGCTTCACAACAGCACATCCAAAATGGCTGCTCGCTGAATACTTTAGTCGATGGTACTTGCTTGTGTATTCTTCTCCGTTGAGGCAAATTTCATAAACTCCTTTAAGATGAAATAGTAGCAGAAACCATCTAGGAAGCAGTTGAGATTAGCCCAGCACAGGCTGATCTGAACAAATGAGCGAATAATCTGCCGGCAATCATCCAGTATTTGGTTCTTCACAAGATAATATAACACCAGGGACACATTCAAAGGGGTGAAGCAGACAAGAAACGTAGTCAGGTTTGCTGTGATTATATTGATGGATTTGCTCCTGTTTGTGAGGGGCTCACCAGGTGTTTGGTTCCTTCGCAGGCATACAATGATCCGGATTGTACAGAAGATCATAGCTGTCATGCAAACAAGAAAAGCTGTTTCCAGGGTGATAAATAAGATGGTGTTTTTCCAAATACTTCCAGAAAAGCCATAGAAGCAGGGGCCTCCATGTTGGTGAAGTTGATACGTATATGCAGTTCCTGCCCACACCCCAGCTGAAATGACAAGACAAGTTGTGGCTGCTTTCTTGGGAGATCTTAGGGTCATGGCGGCAAATGGGTGCAATATAGCAATGTATCTATCTACACATATGCATGTGGAGGTTAAGATGCTTCCGTACATGTTCACAAAATATAAGCTTTCCAGGAAGGAGCAAAAGGCACCCCCGAGGTCCCACTCGCTTTTGTGATAGGAAATTATCTTAAAGGGAAGAGCAAAGAGCATCAAGGTATCAAAAACCATCAGTGATGCCATGTAGATAATGGGTTCTGTCCATTGCCTGATCTTGCGGCAGGCAAACCACATCGCCATTCCGTTGAACAGCAATCCCAGGATGAATGTGGGAATGTATATAGCAAGTTGGAAGCGTTCCACATAAGGTGGAATGGGGAGGCTTGTGTTCCCTTGATTAGAACAGTTGGCTTGAAGGCTGCTTGTCTCCATCAGTTCAGTTTCCTTCAAAAAAGAGACAATGAGGCTATTGAGGTGTCGGCTACTGGATGATAGTTTAAAGAACGAGTCAATTGGTCAGTGCCCCCCACCCACCCCCATTCAAAACCCATCTGAACCATGAGCTCATTCCATCAGGGAATCCATTTTCTTTCAATCTCCCATGAGGTAACAATAAGGTAAAGGTAAAGGGACCCCTGACCATTAGGTCCAGTCGTGACCGACTCTGGGGTTGCGGTGCTCATCTCGCTTTATTGGCCGAGGGAGCCGGCGTACAGCTTCCGGGTCCTGTGGCCAGCATGACTAAGCTGCTTCTGGCGAACCAGAGCAGCGCACGGAAACGCCATTTACCTTCCCGCCCGAGCGGTACCTATTTATCTACTTGCACTTGAGGTGCTTTCAAACTGCTAGGTTGGCAGGAGCAGGGACCGAGCAACGGGAGCTCACCCCGTCACGGGGATTTGAACTGCCAACCATCTGATCGGCAAGCCCTAGGCTCTGTGGTTTAACCCACAGCGCCACCCGCGTCCCCGGAGGTAACAATACTCACCTACAATATTAGAGTTGCTGTAAGGATTGAACACTTAGGAGTAGTGGAGGAGACCAACCTGGTTTCTCTGAGCCATTAGCAGGGTCAAATCCCACCTTTGCCACTTCCACTCATGTAGGCTGGGCGTGGCCCTGCAATAGGACACCAGTGTGTTTGATAGCACCGCAGTAAAGCTTTGAGTCTTGGCATTCATATTGGTCCTACTGCAAAATCAACTAAATTATATCATAGTTAAGGACTTCTCTAATCAACCTGGGTCAATTAGTATATGTTCTTCATTCTCCCATTGAAATGCTGCTGCGATGCGGATGTGAACGTAAATTTTATGCCACAGCACTCAGTGAAGCAGGCAGAAGGTACCAATGGGTTTACCCATCAAACACCTAATAAATTATGAAGGAGTAGCTAAAGCTGCCTCCTCCATACAACTGGAAGCTAAAATAAAATAATAATAATTAACTCAACGGGAATTACAATCAAATGAAGACAAACATCTGAGAGAAGTAGGCAGTGAAGAGGAAGTCACAGAACTCGAAGAAGGCGACTGGCAGCAAATGAATAGAAAGGGAAGAAAAACAAGACAGAAAAAGACGAAAAGGAAGATGCAACAACAGCAAAAGCAACACAGAGATGGTTTCCTCTCTGCCTGACGTCTCATTGAAACTACCAGCTGTAAGTTTGAGATCTATAACCAAAACAGGAAAGAAATGAGATCTATGAGATCTATAACCAAAACAGCAAGAACTGGGCTATTCTTCTCTTATTTTTTGTTTGCAACATAACCATGTAAAACATTTTCTGTTTTTGTGGGGGAGGGGTTAGTGCTTATGTTCCCCGACGTCATCTTAGCTCATGAGCATCTGATTCATGAAAAAAGAGGCTAATTATTCCACTCTCAGCTATAGGTACCCGGAAGGTTGTGGCATTTTTGTCAGTATTCTCAGCATTTGCCATTTCACATTTTAAGCTCATCGTTGTACGAGGGTGCTCTGCGTGTGTTATGTTCCCTTGGAACCTGGCTGCTAGAATTTTATTCTATTTTTGTTATGGTTTAGGAGCTGAAATGTGACCTTGAAGTGTGTTGTGGAACACGGTGCTTGGTGATTTATTTATTTATTTTTTAATTTGCTGCTGAACAAGGAGAGATGTGACCTTGAGATGTGTTTCAAAACCACTTTAGCTTTAGCTAAGTATTGTTGTTTTCTTCAAAAGAAGCCGTGGCAGACTCTTTAACTAGTGCCTCATTGCGAGACTCATTGAGAATGCCCTGTAAGCTGCCTTGACTTCCATAATGGAGAAAGGCCATTAATATTCCAATAATATTCCATTAATATTTGACTTCCTTCACCAAACTGGTGGCCCCCAGGTGAATTCCAACTCTGGTCAGCCTGAGCCAATGATTCTGCTGGCAAAGTCTGACTTACATAATAAGTACCTATAAAACCCAATGCAAAACTTGAAGGACTGTCTCCTCATATGTAAATCTGCTCATCCTTTAAGATTTGGTATTGCAATCCTTCTTGTGTGTCTATCGCCTTCTGAGGCAAGATTGGTGACCGATATAACAGGGTTTTTGTTGTTGTTGTGTCCCCCACAAATCTGTAGAAAACTCGTGCCTCCAATGGTGTTCTTCTGGCAACTGAAATTATTCAGTTGATTCCGTTGCTGTTTGCTTATTTAATTAAATAATTAAATAAATTTATTTCCTGCCGTTGCTCCCGAAGGGTGCCAGTGTATTAATTATTGGCGTTGCTCTTCACGTTTTTTGCTTTCTGCTGTTGTTCTTCGTTTGAAAATCTGTTGCTTTTACATTTGCTGCTTGGAGGCAGGGGAAAGTGGAATGTGTGTTAAATTACATAAAATAATTATTCCTATCCAATTCTTATAAAGTTGGTCTATTTTGGACTTGTTACCGCAAAACACGGTGCCAGCAACTAACTTAGATGGATTTAAACAGGCATGAGACAAATTTATGGAGGACAGGGCAGGCACTGATTACTAGCAGTGATGAATCAGAGTTCATATGGGTCTGATTGCCAACTGTTGGGAACAGGCTCCTGCATCTGATGGACCCTTAGTCTAATCCAGAAGGGCTCTCTTTGTTCTCATACAAGTTGTTTGAATAGACTTTTATGTTTTTATACTTTCTACAACATTCAAGGTGCTTAATATGAAGTGCAAAAGTAAAGTGTTATTTGCATCTGTCTGTCTCAAGAGACAACTGAGTGCACCTCCAGGGGTGAAGTCAAACTGCTGCATTAGCAGCACCAAAGTGACCTCCTCGGGGTGCAAGCCTGGGCAGGGTGTATGGAGGTCCTGGGCTGCCCGGATGACAAGACCTCCATCTCAGCCTTGCTGATGTGGTCCAAAGGGAAGCAGAGCCACACATTTGGTGCCAGCTTGGCTGCAGGAGTTGCTGGAAGGAGGCGTACAAGGCGCCATTCAACCGTCTTATGTAATAAAAGTAAATAAAATTATGGTATTAAGTGAACACGCTATGTAGTCCTAAAAGCTATACAATAGAAAAGGTATAACTTGAATGTATTTTTTGCTGCCGAGATGAGATTACATAACAACCAGCTAACATGGCTCACTTGGTCGAGCATGAGACTCTTAATCTCAGGGTTGTGGGTTTCATTCCCACGTTGGGCAAAAGATTCCTGCATTGCAGGGGGTTGGACTAGATTATTCTTGTGGTTCCTTCCAATTCTACAGTTCTGTGATTCCATAATGCACCCCAAAACAAGACAGGAAAACATTTTTCAGTCAAGACATAAAGAGGAAAGTGCAAAACACTGCTCTTTCTGGTAATGGGCGGGTGTCATTTCCTTGAAGAGGATTTATGCAGGAATAACTAGGCACAGAAAAGGGATGCAGGTGGCGCTGTGGGTTAAACCACAGAGCCTAGGGCTTGCTGATCAGAAGGTCAGCGGTTCAAATCCCCACAACGGGGTGAGCTCCCGTTGCTTGGTCCCTGCTCCTGCCAACCTAGTAGTTCGAAAGCACGCAGCGCAAGTAGATAAATAGGTACCGCTCCAGCAGGAAGGTAAACAGCGTTTCCGTGCGCTGCTCTGGTTCGCCAGAAGCGGCTTAGTCACGCTGGCCACATGACCCGGAAGCTGTACGCCGGCTCCCTCAGCCAATAAAGCGAGATGAGCATCACAACCCCAGAGTCGTCTGCGACTGGACCTAACGGTCCCTTTACCTTTTTAACTAGGCACAGGCGACCGCCAGTAACCATGGTCTAAATGCCAATGCCTACTACAACTGAGATCATCTTTGTTAATTCTACCAGCTCAAGTCAGTCAGGATGGTGGAATGGGATGGCTAGGTTCAGGCTGCCCACACACCATACGTTTAAAACACATGACTTCCCACAAAGAATCCTGAGAACGTTATTTACCCCTCACAGAGCTACAGCTCCCATCATCCTTAAACAAACTACAGTTCCCCAGATTCTTTGAGCGAAGCTATGTGCTTTAAATGGTGCCTCACTCCCCACCTTACAAACAGATGGGCATCACTCTCAAAGCTGATAGTGTCAGACATCTGATAACGGCTGTACATGCAGCTTCTGATACACACACAAAGCACACTTTGTACTCAGGCCGAGGAAGAAATGCACCTTCAAGTATGCTATGCTATGCGCACGCACACAAACACATAGAGGAGTTGCACGAGTATGATAGTTAAAGGACCCCTGGGCGGCTAAGTCCAGTCAAAGGTGACTATGGGGTGCGCTGCTCATCTTGCTTCAGGCTGAGGGAGCCAGCGTTTGTCCACAGACAGCTTTCTGGGTCATGTGGCCAGCATGACTGAACCGCTTCTGGAGCAACGGGACACCGTGACGAGTGCCAGAGTGCACGGAAATGCTGTTTAACTTGCCGCCACAGCGGTACCTACTTATTTGCTTGCACTGGCATGCTTTCAAACTGCTAGGTTGGCAGAAGCAAAGACAGAGCAACGGGAACTCACCCTGTCGTACAGATTTGAACCGCCGACCTTCCAATAGGCAAGCCCAAGAGGCTCAGTGGTTTAGAACACAGCACCACCCGCGTCCCTTACTTGCACAAGTATTTTCCAGGGTCTGCCATATCCAGTATTGAGGACTACATGAGATGGCTTGCTGGATCTAGACAGATTATTAGCCAAACTGGAGATAAAGCATTGCAAATTTAAAATCCTAGATGCGATCAGTACTTAAAAGCTCATAGAACTTACCCCCAAACTCACTCTCCATAAAACCAGCCAGAACACTGGATGTTACTCAGTGAATCAACAGTAGGTCCTTCTTTACAAAGCCTTTCCTGGAGCAGAATAAACACCAGATCCCAAATGCAAATACTAGCTTCCTCTTATCGATGTTCTTAAAACAAACATGTACCTGCACACTACTTAATTAGCTGGTGCCATCATTTGCGAAAAGCTGCAGCTCTATTCTGTCAACTCCAGCTAACGTTCTCAACTCTCATTATTTGAACTTCTCAGCCTTCTGACGTAGTTTTTAAAGGTATTTGCATACGACGCTCCACTTTTTACTATGTGGTAAACCTGTAGCAGAGGAAATGGTATTTGTAAGTCATAACTGGCTTTATTTAGCAACATGCGTGACAAGCTTCTCAATTTGGCCATGATTAGGGAATAGGATTATGATTATTTGAAACCACTCGAGAGACACCGTACTGTAGCATATACTGCAGCATAACCCAGGCTTTGACATTGATTTTTATATTGCACTGAACTGAAACAGCGGCATTGCCACTTAACCTATTGTTGTAAATAATTAGCTAATGAACTGCTGGAAAAAAAGAAAGCATGCAGTATAGAGTGCTACTCTTTTACACTTGCAGGCTAACAGTCACTACTGGACGTGGTTCAAAACTGATTCTTGGCACTCTATGGAATAGGGCTAGATCTGTAGTGCATTGTTTGCATACTTCTTTTGAAAACCAGCCCACAAACTGGGATAACTATTTTAGAGCTCCCAAAGAAGGGCTACATTTGATATTAAGAAAAGGTGAATGATATGCACGACCATGTTTTTATAACCTTCCCCAGCTTACTGCCACATTTACAGAATGAGATGTCAGTGTATTTAGTGAATGAGATTAGTCTGCTCATTCTACAACAGTTTCGTTGAAGATGAAATCAAAATATAGTTGTGAGTTTTACTTCTGAGTAAGAAAGTTTCTAATTTACTTTGAGCAATCATTAAAGTCATTTATAAAACATGACCTTCAGTTCCAGGAAACTTGCACGTTATGAGTCATCTGCTGTTTTCCCCACGCTGTATAGTACAAGAGGGCAGACTATGACAGAATCATCCAGTACATATGTGGATTGAATATTCATCATAAGGCAATGTCAGAATTGAAAATAGTAAGAATTTAACATCTTAATGTATGTCACTTAATACATTTTAAAATATGAATTGATGGACAAACAGGCTGTGCATATGCCTATAGCAAAAACAGCACCAGTGATATTATTTCTTCCTGATCACCTATGAAAATCCAAACTCAAAATGAAGTACAAGATGTATAGTGTCAACTTGTACATAAATGGTTTGTGAAAATGCTGTTAGTCCTATCTTACTAGTGAGCAGGATTTTCTGCTCAACACAGTAGTTGCTTCTACTAAATACTAGGGACACTGCCTTCTGAATAGTTTATAGCCTTTAATTAAAACTCATTAGATACTAAATTTCTCTCAGCTGTTTGTGTTCATGAGGATACTTTCAAGATATTCTCGATAGCTGTTCTACATACTCAGTCATCTCCTGGTTTTTAATTGCTTTATTAGCCATACTTCAACAATCCTTAGCTGCAGGTAACCTCAGAAAACCACTTTCATCATTTGATTAAAATGAGCTTTCAGAGCAAATATGGGATAGAATTTTCATTTGCAGAGGCAGCTCATTCATAATCAGAATGATCAAGAAATGAGAAAGCAATGGTCATGCACAGGTTAACTTGGCTTTAGTGTTGGAATTGCTTCTATCTCTCTTTTGTAGACCTACTACTTCCTTAACAATTAAGTTCAATTGGCCTTTCCAATAATTATGCTGAAATCAATTCCCATTATGCTGGTTGACTATCATTTCTTCTACTTTATTCATTTTCCTCTTCTAACATACTGATTTTAACTTTTCAACTGCTGTCTCTTTTGGAACAATCCTTTTTATTAGCATTTTTCCTCCACTCCACATTTCCAATTTATTTGCTTTATGGCTAAAAGGAGGCAAGTTAATACTTTGAAATTAGACCACTCCCATTTGACAACACCTTTGAAAACTCAAACTGGGCTCTTCACAATACCTTTGCCACATAGTACTCATAGAAACCTTAAGCTCTTGCAGTTGTTCTGATGCTGCACTCTTATTGATACAAGGAATCAAGTCATTGTTATCCAATTAAGCTTATGTGGGCTGAATAGCCCCAAATCTGGAAGTTTGTCTGCAAAATAAGATGTATGACCTTAACAACTCCATTGATGGTTAGTACCTGCCACCCCAGGGTCATTCCAGGGCCCAAGTGATCAAAATCTCTAGAATTCAGCTGCTGAAATAGAAGGGCCCTCCTTCAATGTCTTCAGGACCCCAGATGGCTGCTGAGACCTTCCTAGCCCTGAGAATGGGAGAGGCTATTTCTCAATCCAACAGAAAATTACCCACTGACAGGTCAACCCTGACACTATCTCAGCAATAATAGCTAATGCATACAGAAATAAGGTGCTGGCATATGCATTCCATAAACCTTTGGCCATCCCGTATCATATACCCACATCTCATACGGCATTGCATCCAACCCTAAATCTGTTTTATGGTTCAAGGCCGTTAAGTATTCCGTGGCCGCAGGCTCATTCATTCCTACCCATTGTTCAAATAATTGCAAACATTAAAGCTCATTTTTACAGGACAAGGGATAAATATAAGCAAGCTCTATTCATACTAACTGGAGGCTAGAAAAGTATTCAAATGTTGTAAAAAATGCAACCCAAGCTTAATTGTAAACTTAACATTGAGAGCATTGCAATTTTGAATGAAAGTGCAAATATAAAATAGCACCCATTCTTCAAATTTAACAGCATTTTCTATTATAACGAATCTTAATAAAAGTCTTTGGATTCCCAACAATAAAGACAAACACACAGGCTGCCATTGTTACTTATCACAATTACCCCTGCAACCAGTCAAAATGTTTCAGTTGCAGGTTTTGCATAGCAGGGACACGAGATCTAGAATCAGCTTTAATACGCAACCATGTTTAATGACTTGAGTAACAAAAAAGTTAATGCCTATATGCTATTGCTGCTTAAGATTGTAGTATGTACTTAAAGGTAAAGGTACCCCTGCCCGTATGGGCCAGTCGTGTCCGACTCTAGGGTTGTGCGCCCATCTCACTTAAGAGGCCGGGGGCCAGCGCTGTCTGGAGACACTTCTGGGTCACGTGGCCAGCGTGACGAAGCTGCTCTGGCGAGCCAGCACCAGCACAGCACACGGAAACACTGTTTACCTTCCCGCTAGAAAGCAGTACCTATTTATCTACTTGCACTTAGGGGTGCTTTCGAACTGCTAGGTGGGCAGGAGCTGGGACCGAACGACGGGAGCTCACCCCGCCGCGGGGATTCGAACCATGCCGACCATGCGATCGGCAAGCCCTAGGCACTGTGGTTTTTACCCACAGCAGCACCTCAGCGTAAAACACAGTGAATTTTGCTTCTAATACAGAATGGCATTGCACATGAACTGGAAGCTACTTCATGCTATGATCCAGTTTCTTAAGACACAAATACTATTCTTTGGTACGACTCCAAACCTTTGTAAAGAACTCGACTGCCTGAAAAGATGGGTTTATATTCCCTTTCTCAATGTATTGCTTGCATTTTGTCTTTATTTTAAAATTTACATGGGCAGATTACATAGTTTTTCTACCTAAGCTTTAAGGATACTTTCATGAGGTATTCTTTCCAGTTGGTTCTGGAAATGTCCTGTATAAGGGGGAACATGACACCATTATCAGGTTCTATTAAACCATAGAATAGGAAACAGAAAGTTTTAAAAAAGAAATAACGGAAGATATACATACATTCATTCATGTTTCTTTATTTAACACAAAGCTCAATGTGCACAATGATATTCCCATGTGATTTTCATTATAAAGACATGTCTGCTAAGATTTAGGATCTTGTAACGTATTAGTATGATTCTTTTCAATATAAATTTTTCATTTTTCAGGTTTTCAAGATCGTTGCAAAAGGAATGCAAGGGGGAAAGGAGAATAGATCTTCAAATCTAGGAGGCAGTATATAGCATTTCTGACAGAAACTTTATTTTATACTTTTCTCAGAATATATTTATAACTATTCTAAGAAAGATTTTAAAGCTATTTTAAATGATTAAACGAAACTGCTAGAACGCTTAAATGTTTATTTGAAACAGAACAAGTGAACTGAAGTATGAAAATATTTTCAAATAATCATCTGACATTACTTTTTTTTCTAATACTCTTCCCCTTCTTCAGCCTCAGCTTCCACAGAATCAACACCCACTTCTTCATAATCTTTTTCAAGAGCAGCTAGATCTTCACGAGCTTCAGAAAATTCTCCTTCCTCCATACCTTCTCCAACATACCAATGCACAAAGGCTCGCTTAGCATACATCAGGTCAAATTTATGGTCAAGACGAGCCCAAGCTTCTGCAATGGCAGTTGTATTACTTAACATACACACAGCACGTTGCACCTTGGCCAGATCCCCTCCTGGCACAACAGTAGGAGGCTGGTAGTTAATGCCCACCTAGAAGAAAAATGAAAGTTTAATTATGTTTCCCTATAGCACAATGCTCCACCACCCACATTCAAGGGAATCATTGCAGGGCTTATGAGTTTTGCTTTTTCCTTAATTCCCATTACAGCAGGCAAGGACATTACAGAAAGAAAATTAGAGGTGAACTGAATATTAAGCAACTTGAACAAGACAATCAGGTAGATGAGAATATAAAAAATGTATGTATCTATTCTCCACTATGTCCTGAGGTTCTGCTTCTACACCATAGGGAGGGAAGGACAAATGGGTTTGTGGGCAATCATGAGGATCCCACTGTGAGCAGATTGTACTTTTGACCCGGGGGTTGTGTGTATCAATAAAACGATAAAACTACACAGGATTAACATTCAGAATGCAGTCATCATTAAGTTACATTTCAGCCAAGACAGCCCTCTGGGTATAGGGCAGTATATAAATTCAAATAATAATAGTAATAATACTGTTAAATATATGGTTAACTTATTAATATCTTAAGATCACAAAATCTACCAGGAAAGGGCAAACTATTTAAAAGTCTCTCTATCTAGTTAAGCCCCCCCCCCAATGCTAAACAAATACTTTAAAAACGATAGGCAAACCCTACTTCTTAAAACCTACATTATTCCAATTCTGAAAATCAGTAAAAGCAATGACGGGCGCTATTCCATCTGGTCACCTATTTGAGGAAATGGAGAAAACTGGACCTCCTTCCTTGCCCAAATGTCTTTGTTCCGCAGAGTAAAAATCTGCAGCCCATTTCTATATGAGCTATCTGGTTAAGGGGTGATTTCTGTTACATACTTTTTTATTTTACTTTTAATAGGTTAGTTGATGTGGTGTAGCAAACAGTTGTTCTTTAATCAAGGAGACTTGTATTCAAATCCCAAACTATGCTATGAAGCTTATTTTCAGGGTAGCCACAATCTCTCTGCCTACACTACTTTATAAGGCTGTGAGAATAAAATGCGATGCCACTATATACAGTGGTACCTCGGGTTAAGAACTTAATTCGTTCTGGAGGTCTATTCTTAACCTGAGGTACCATTTTAGCTAATGGGGCCTCCCACTGCTGCTGCGATTTCGGTTCTCATCCTGAAGCAAAGTTCTTAACCCGAGGTACTATTTCTAGGTTAGTGGAGTCTGTAACCTGAAGCGTCTGTAACCCGAAGTACCACTGTATAGTGCTCTGAGTACTCTGGGTAAAAGGGAAAATAAAAAATAGAAACAATAATAATAGTCCTTAGCTAGAAGATTTTTAAAGGAAAAATCTCACCCTTTAATATTCTACTTTGAGAGCTTAATGATGATAGGAAATGCTAACTGCCACAAATTAGTAAAAAAGTGGTACGACCATGTACTTTCCAAACTACTGGATATCTTGTGTCTCTTAGTGACAAATAAGAAATGTAATTTACATGAATTTAATATTGCTGGGATATCTAAAATGCACTTGCATATCATACATAGTGTTTTTTAAGTGCACTGAATACTGCATACTCTCCCATTTGGATTAAGAAGCACGGCACATGGGCCTGCCTCTAAAAAGTATCTGGAAATCTTTGGAATTCAATACAACTATGTGACAAGGACCTGCTCTGAAAGAATGAAAGGGGCCTCATAAATGAACAAATGTACCCCGTCATTTTAGACTGAGGCCTGCATCTTCAATAAACTTTTAAAACTGTATTTGATTAGTGAAGCATTTTCTATGAACTAATTTGACTAATTTCACTTTCAAAATTACGACTGCACTGTTAAAATGGCAAATGTGAAAACAACTACCTATTAGTTGTTAATTTACAACAGATTAAAAATGAACTTATGGACAGCTTGTGCACCATGAAAACCACCTATAAAGAAATGGCTGAAAGGTTCTGTAAATTCACTTAAAATGCTTTAAAATACCTTGAATCCAGTTGGACACCAATCCACAAACTGAATGGTACGCTTCGTCTTGATAGTTGCAATAGCTGCATTGACATCTTTTGGGACAACATCACCTCTGTATAACATGCAGCAGGCCATATATTTGCCATGGCGAGGGTCACACTTTACCATCTGGTTGGCTGGCTCAAAACATGCATTAGTAATTTCAGCGACAGACAACTGCTCATGGTATGCCTTTTCAGCTGAGATGACAGGTGCGTATGTTGCCAAAGGAAAATGGATTCGTGGGTATGGGACAAGATTTGTCTGAAATTCTGTCAGATCTACATTCAGAGCACCATCAAAACGGAGTGAAGCCGTGATTGATGAAACAATTTGGCCAATGAGACGATTTAGGTTGGTGTAAGTGGGACGTTCAATGTCAAGATTGCGTCGACATATATCATAAATAGCTTCATTATCTACCATGAAGGCACAGTCAGAATGCTCCAATGTTGTGTGTGTAGTAAGGATAGAATTATAAGGCTCTACTACAGCAGTAGATACCTGTGGAGCTGGGTAAATAGCAAACTCCAATTTGGACTTTTTGCCATAATCAACTGACAGTCTTTCCATGAGTAAAGATGCAAATCCAGAGCCAGTGCCTCCTCCGAAACTATGAAAAATAAGGAAACCCTGAAGACCTGTGCACAAATCAGCCTAGAAGAAAAAGACAGCAAGCATTCTTAAGTATTCTAAGTGTGTACTTAATGTACAAATCATTCCTAGAAATCACTTGTTTTCACTGTGTGCATTTAAAATATTTGGCTAATTAAAAATTTCCTTCCATTTTTCTTAAAAAGTCTTAAAATCTAATGATCCTAGACTTATTTAATGTTGTCTGATTATTTCATGAAATATGCTGTTTTGATGTTTGATAGATAAAGCTAAGCAGTAGTTCAGTATTGCATTCTACACTAGTAAGTTCTATTTAGTGTAGAACTAATAAGTCAACTTAAATTAATCAAGCCCATTAATTTCAGTGGGTCTACAAAGATGTTTAATGTTGGATACAATGCACTGAATTTAATAAGTAGTAAAATGAAATCTTTAGTACATTTTACTTGAAATCAAAGACTTCTAGAAAAATATTAAAAAATTGTATGTGTGAACAAAAGAGAATTTATTTATTTATCTATTTCAGATAACATAGTTGCCTTGGATAAAATTAGCTTGTTACTGGTGTATGCCCCCCCCCATCTAAGACACAAAATGACTTCTAATTATTTATGTGGTCAGTTACAGTGCATGGCTTTGGGAATACTTTTTAATGTGCAATAAAGAACCAATTTTCCTGTCTTTGTTAAGTCTACTAAATCTATTTCAATCACCTTTAAACTCTATTCTGACACAATAAAATCATACCTTTAAGATTAAGGACCTAAACCAGAACATGGGAAGTCTGTACATACCAAAATCCTGTGAACATAGAAGATCCCTATGCAATACTCATGTGTTGATATTTTATTGCTCTCTGTACAAGTGTATGTGTTACAAAAACCTACTCACTTACAGTAGTTCTATAGCTGTCTGTGCAGATGTCAAATTAATTCAAGATTGATGGGTCTTTACTTGTAAGTTAAGTTTGTATAAAGATGGGAGGTGGTAAGGAGGGTGTGATTAGCCATTTGGTTGTGTGTGTCCTTTGGATTTATGGCCTGTTAATGATACTTTCCATTTAAACGTACTCTCCTATTTTCATAATAGAATATTTTTTTCTGACTAGTTTGAAAGGTAGCGAAATAGGTTGGTGTCTGTTCTTAGTTTTCCAATAAAACTTACCAGTTTGCGAATGCGATCCAGCACTAAATCAACAATCTCTTTTCCTATGGTATAGTGGCCTCGGGCATAATTGTTGGCAGCATCTTCTTTTCCAGTAATAAGTTGCTCAGGATGAAATAACTGCCTATAAGTGCCTGTACGCACTTCATCTATAAAACATTATAAAGAATCTTGTAAACCATTCCTATTTCACCTTTGCCTGATGCATTTAGCCTTAAAACATTATGCATGAAATGGTAAAAAGATAGCTTGCCACAAAACTATTTTGTAAAATCTGTATTGCTAAAGTTAATATTAATCTATAATAACTCTAATATAATGCTCAAAACTGCAATATAGTCTATTTAACACTAGCAATTTCATACATCAGAAAGCAGCAATATACCTACCAACCACAGTTGGCTCAAGGTCCACAAAGACAGCCCTAGGCACATGCTTGCCAGCTCCAGTTTCACTAAAAAAAGTGTTGAAAGAATCATCACCACCTCCTATGGTCTTGTCACTTGGCATCTGACCATCAGGTTGGATTCCATGTTCAAGACAATACAGCTCCCAGCAAGCATTACCAATCTGAACACCAGCCTGTCCAACATGGATAGATATACACTCACGCTGTTAAAAAAACAACAAAACAAAGACACATAGAAGAGTGAAAATTAGTTTGCTCTTTTGTAAATGACTCGAGAATTTTTTTAAAAAAATTGTACCATCACAGATACCAAAGACTATTTTTTTAAAGTGGCTCTCTTTTCAAACACACCACTATCTCAGCCTAGATAATCTATTTAATGGAATATCCGAGGCCTGTTTAACTAACACTTTCAAAGAGGAATGTATTTCTCTTACCTCCCATATGATCCAATCAAGTTTTACTTATGCACTCATTACCTGTCATCTTTCACAGCATTTTGCCTAATCTGGCCACTACGCACTTCCCAAACGGTTAATAATTACAGTGCATTCCCTCCCGACCACGGTCCCCTTTCGCCCTTCTCCACGATTTCATGCCAGGATAACCTGTTTTACATTTCAACACCGACTTATCCCACTGTGGGCATGACTCAAAGGAAAGCGACCGCTTTCACGCCTCCTCCTCCATGCCACCCTTTAATAGCAAAACCACAATATTCCACCGCTCCCCACCATGGCGAATCTGAGGCGAAGCGACGGTCAGCCCTCGCGCTCTCGGCCCTGAGGAAAGACCGCCAACGGCGCGAAGCCAACCGATTCTCTCGGCAAGATTCGCGCCTTTCGGGGTCACGCGGCCGCTCTCCATTGGCTGCCGGAACCGCCGCTCGTTCCCTCGTGCTCGCGCGCCACGAGTCGGCCGGCCTTCGCCGCGCACGATGCGGGAGACCTCGGGTTTCCGTCTCCCCGCTCGCCATAGGGCCCTGCTTACCACCCTCTTACCCCGAGCTCACGGCCCCCGTCAGAACACCCTCAGCCGAAGGGGTTCAACACCCGCCATGCCGTCCCTCCTAAAGCCCCACCACAGAAACCCCCGCTCCCTACCATGGCGCCTCGCGGAGATGACGAGTTTCACGGACACCGGTGGAGCGTTCTGCGCCCTATCCCGTCTGAGACCAACGTCAATTGTTCGGCCGTTGGGGGCAACGGCCTCTCTCGCGCCCCTTTCGGTCGCCCTACTGATGCCCTATTGGCGGAGGCTGCTCCGCTTTTGAACGCTGATTGGTTGAACGGGGCCTTCTCCAACTCGGGGTGGTTGTGGCCTGATATGATGGGGGTGGTTGTGGGGCGGAGGGGAGCGTGACACTTTAGGCGGGAAACATTTTCGCTTCTGGGGGGAGGGGTGGGGAGCTAAATGGATCGTCGGAACCCCATGTCAACAAAAGCATCCTTCTACAATATGGGGGGGGGGTGCACTTTTGTCACTCACTGTCAAGTGTGAAAACTGCATGCTTTTCACACATAATTGAAATGTGTGAAGTAGCCCATGAATGTGGATTGCGAAGCGCATTGGAAACAGACATCTACCCTCTCCAGACTTTGAATTAACCAACTGCCCTTTATAACTTTATCTTCTTTGAAGGCTGCAGCCTTATATGCACTTTAGGTCCAGTTGCGGACGACTCTAGGGTTGCGCGCTCATCTCGCCCTATAGGCCAAGGGAGCCAGCATTTGTCCGCAGACAGCTTCTGGATCATGTGGCCAGCATGACCAAGCTGCTTCTGGCGAACCAGAGCAGCGCACGGAAACGTTGTTTACCTTCCCGCCAGAGTGGTACCTATTTATCTACTTGCACTTTGATGTGCTTTCGAACTGCTCGGTGGGCAGGAGCAGGGACAGAGCAACAGGAGTTCACCCCATCACGGGGATTCGAAGCACTGACCTTCCGATCTGCAAGCCCTAGGCTCTGTGGTTTAGACCACAACGTCACCCGCGTCCCTATATGCACTTACTAGGGAGTAAATTCAACTGAACAAAGCAGTGAACATGTACATATGATTACAGTATATTGCTTTTCACAAAAATATGGCTCAAAGCAACTGAGAAACTCAGAAATGAACCACTTAGAAAACAGAAAAAAACAAGTATACAGAAAAACCAACAAAAGACTAGGTCTATCAGGCCTCTTCTTCTTGAGTTGCTCTCCTGGGAGCAACCATTTTATCAATCCGCCTCTAGGAGGGATAGAAAGCTATAGAATTTATTTAAAGACAATTATGAAAAGTGTTGGTCGGACATTAAAAAGGATTTAGAAATATGGACAAATTTGAAGCTTTCCTTGTTAGGTCGAATTGCTGTCATCAAGATGAATGTATTGCCAAGAATGCTGTTTTTGTTTCAATCGATACAAATAATAGACAAGATGGATTGTTTTAAGAAGTGGCAGAGAGATATCTCTAAGTTTGTCTGGCAGGGCAAGAGGCCCAGGATAAAATTTAAAATATTGACTGATGCTAAAGAAAGAGGGGGATTTGCCCTGCCAGACTTTAAACTTTATTATGAATCAGCAGCTTTCTGCTGGCTGAAGGATTGGTTACTTCTGGAAAATACTGATGTTTTGGACTTAGAAGGTTTTAATAATGTGTTTGGGTGGCATGCATATTTGTGGTATGACAAGGTTAAAGCTCACAAAATATTTAAAAACCATATTGTCAGGAAAGCATTATTCAATGTCTGGATAAGATATAAAGACTTATTGGAGAATAAAACCCCAAGGTGGCTATCACCAATGGAGGCAAAGGCCCTGAAAAAGTCCAATATGGAGGCCAAGTGGCCAAAATATTGGGAGATCTTGGAACAAGAAGGAGATAAATACAAATTGCAGAGTTTTGAAAAACTAAAAGATAGAGTGCGTGACTGGTTGCATTATTACCAAATAAGAGAGGTCTATAATTTGGATAGAAAAGTTGGCTTCCAGGTGGAAAAATCAAAGTTGGAAACAGAACTGCTAGATCCCAAAACTAAAACACTTTCAAGAATGTATAACTTGCTGCTAAAATGGAATACTCAGGATGAAACGGTAAAATCTGCTATGATTAAATGGGCACAGGATGTTGGACACAACATTATGTTTGCTGACTGGGAACGGTTATGGACCACAGGTACGAAGTTTACAGCATGTAATGCTTTAAAAGAGAATATAATGAAAATGGTGTACAGGTGCTACATGACCCCAGTCAAGCTTGCAAAAATCTACCATTTGCCCGATAATAAATGTTGGAAATGTAATGAAACTGAAGGTACATTCTTTCACCTTTGGTGGACGTGCCCAAAGATTAAGGCCTTCTGGGAAAGGATATATAATGAGTTGAAAAAGGTATTTAAGTATACCTTCTTAAAGAAACCAGAGGCCTTTCTCCTGGGCATTGTTGGCCAATTGGTGCCAAAGAAAGATAGAACTTTCTTTATGTATGCAACAGCAGCAGCAAGGATACTCATCGCAAAGTATTGGAAGACACAAGACTTACCCACTCTGGAAGAATGGCAGATGAAGGTAATCGATTATATGGAATTGGCGGAAATGACTGGCAGAATCCGTGACCAGGGAGAAGAGTCGGTGGAAGAAGATTGGAAGAAATTTAAAGACTATCTACAGAAATACTATAAAATTAATGAATGTTAAATTGAGGTCTGATTGAAAATAACTGGTATTGGCAAAAGCCTTGCGTTTAAGAGCATGGAATATTTGATGGATAAGGTTGTAAAAATATCTATATATAAATAGATTAAGTTTCTTGAGTTAAGATAAAGGAAGGAGGGTAAGGATTTGCTGAAAGGAGTTTTTAAATGGAAATACAAGCGGGGAGATGCGGGGAAGTCAAAGAACTAGGGAAAGATAAGAAGGTCAAATGAAAGTATAAATTTTTAAACTTTTCTGTTTCTTTTTCTTTTTCTCTTTTTTCTTTCTTTGTTATGGATATTGTTATCTTTGTTTTCTTTTTGTCACTGCTATTGTTGTTTTTTGTCTGTGGAATTTTTGTATTTTTGTATCTTTTGGAATTTTTGTAAAACCAATAAATATTATATTAAAAAAAAAAAAGAAAGTCAACAGAAAGCTAAGTTCACTCCCCACTACAAAACGACCACTATCCCAAAAACATAATGTACCGCAGTACAATTGTGTTGTAAAATATCACCATTCTCATTTAAAATTAATACAGAAGCTTCCAAAATGCACAATGAAATGTATATGTTTTAGCTAATGAGCAACATTATTCAGAAAGAAAACCACCCAACAGTGCCATCGTGTGGGAAATCTATCTGTCATTTGAAATCCTGTGTTCTTAACTGTCTTAAACAGTTTCTGTACTTGCCACAAGGAGGAAGCAGAACCCTCATTTAGAAAAGCTGCATATCATTTAAAGAATGGTTTAAGAAAGTAAAGGTAAATAAGTTTTCAGCATTTGTAATGAGGGTTACAAAAAGAGTAGAAGGGCTGTATATTTTAATATTCTCTTCAAATCTTCAAAAATCTTCAAAAATCACTGAATTGCAAGAATGCCTTTATGTGCTAGCTGTTACGTTCTGCTTAACACAGATTAATTGAATTGGAGGCAGTTTTCAAATCAAACTGGATTTTATTCTAAGTAAAATATTATTATGAGTGGGTGGTCACTGACCAGATTCAGACACTCTGGAAGAAGACTGATTTTCTAGATCCATTTCTGTCATGGTTTCGGCCTGGCTTTGGCACAGAAACTGCCTTGGTTGCCTTATGCAGTTTGCCTAGATGCAATAAAGTTTAATACAAACAGTCAATTTCAACAAGTATATGTTGGTTGAATACTGCAAATCAGTTGCATAACGAGCCCTTGGCTTAGGCTATTACCAGAAAATTTGCAGTGGGCAGAATTCCAGTGTCAGGGAAAGGGAAGGGAGTATTTGGTAAAAGAGCTAAACCCTAAATACAAACAGCAAATAATAATTTAAATTATGGCTGTTATTTCATAACTTTAATAAAGTTTTGTTTTAATACTTTAAGTGCCAACTGTTTGCCATTTATTCCATAGTGTTTGCACTCATGGGTTAGAGCATTTTAAGCCAGAAAAAAGCTTCTTAATTGTTAACCAATAGGAGCATACAATGCTGCTGTCTATCAGGCCTGATTATTCCTTTAGTCCAGTATTGTCCGCTCACCTGCTACCTAATCCACCGGAAAGGTGAAGGATTGAACCTGGCACCGTCTGCATATAAAGCATATGCTCTACCGCTGAGCTACGCTCCCTCTCAATAACAATTGGGTAGCATAATTGGCTTAATGCTTTTTTATATCCCTGGAAGTTCAAACACTAGGGTCATTCCTTTTTAAATAGCAGGTGAACATTCAATAAAGGAGTTTAAAACAGGTCTGCAAAACCTGTGATCCACCAAGTGAACTCCTTGCCTCCCACTTCATCTGCTATGTTTGGCAGGCAAACAAGAGATTAATAGACCTTATTTTTTTCTGCCTGTCTGGGATTGCAAAGAAGAAGAAAAAAGGTAAGCAGCCAATAGGCCCCCACAACACATAGATGGTGGGCTGCAGTAGGTTTGCCATATCTCAAACTGAGTGCAGATTTGTTATATAATATCCATAGGTCCTTGCATCATAGGCAAATATATTTCTGTTATCCCAGGTTTTTTAATCTGTTTGGGTGATATTCAATAATGGTGAAAACTTATGTAAATGGGACTTACTCTTCCTTTCCCCCCTTCTATAACTGCAACCTAAATCTTCTGTGGAGAGCTGAGGGATCCTTCAGAGCGGAGATTGAGCTTGTGGCCATACTGATATCTTGTATTCTAGCCTTTTATTTTTGTGACTCATGCTGGAAGAAAGCAGGCAAAAATATTTTTCATCTCACAGGGTTCATTGCCAGGGGCAGAGTTGCTTTACTAGCTCGCTGCTGGCTGAAATGCAGCCGGCTGTCAGCCAACGGTGCTTTCGTTCAGATGCTGGAAGTCTTTATTAATAAATACCTTCCCACCAACATCTAACAACATCATTCAGAAAACAGGATGAGCTGAAGCAGGGATGGGGAACTTCTGGCTAGCAGACTGATTGTAACTCAGGTGCTGAGATTTCCCCAAGGTTACATCCCCTGTCCCAGGACGTGCCTTTATGTGCTTTTGCTTGTGTTCAGGTCATGCTGAGAGGTACCTGTAAGTGAGGGGCACATGGGGCTCATCAGCCTGGGAAGGAAAACTCTGAACCTAAACCTCCAACTGCCTTGTGGGATATCTTTGGGAGAAGAAAAGACTAAGGAGTAAACCCTGCACAAATCTGGAGTGGAGTCCTTAAGATGGTTGGATGGTGTGTTGTTCCTTCTGGAACTCCTGCAGCCTAGCTGGTGCCAAACATATGGCTCTGCTTTCCTTTGGACTACATCAGCGAGGCCGAGAGTCGGGTCTTATCCTCTGGGCAGCCCAGGACCTCCATACACACTGCCCAGGTTTGTTCCCTGGGGAGGTCATTTGGTGCTGTTAACACAGCGGTTTGACTTCACGCCTGGAAGCACGCTATTGCCAGCAAAAACATTTCAATGATTGCTGCATTTTACAACATACCTTTTCCCTTACATATTTAAATGGAGACATTTGATTTTATGACAATTTCCCCTATTATCATTAGCATTCATCTTTAAGCTTAGATTAAATGTGCGGGGAAAGGCGGGGAAGATGACTGATTTTACTCCTAGTTCTTGTGCCACACTGTCCTATAACCGCACAGCTCTGTAAGGGTGCTGCAGAGAAGAATCACTGTTCTAAATTGCAATTAGACTGGATATTTCTCATTCTTCCTTCCGCTCTTTGCAAAATAATACAACACCACACAAACTTTTCTGCTGGTATATATTTGGGGAGGGGGGCACACTGTACACTGAGAGCCAGTGTGGTGTAGTGGTTAAGAGCGGTAGATTCGTAATCTGGGGAACCGGGTTCGTGTCTCCGCTCCTCCACATGCAGCTGCTGGGTGATCTTGGGTTAGTCACACCTCTCTGAAGTCTCTCAGCCCCACTCACCTCACAGAGTGTTTGTTGTGGGGGAGGAAGGGAAAGGGAAATGTTAGCCGCTTTGAGACTCCTTCGGGTAGTGATAAAGCGGGATAGCAAATCCAAACTCCTCTTCCTCCTCCTCCTCCTCTTCTTCTTTTTTAGAATATTAAATACATTGGAAAGACAGACAGAAATGAAATTTTGATGAACGCACACTACAGTAATTTACATTGCTTCAGAGAAGAGGCCAGCTGCCAAACTTTCTGCGCTTACTTTGAAAATAGTTCTAGACAAGGACCTGTTTAAATAAGACAATGTAATGACTGATGTGCTGCGGCATGATTGATATACATTGAAAAGACGTGTCAGAATTCTAACATTTAAAAAGTGCCTTATCTTAAAAATGTACAAAAGCAAACGGAACAAGCTGGGAAATTAGCAGTCAAAATAGATCGTTGAAACCATGTTATAAATAGCAAATATAAAAATAAGTAGGATTTCTCTGTCATTTCAAATAATTTTGCTGTTACTTGTTAAGTGACTGTTAGAGCACTTTAGGACTGAGTTTTAAGTCATAAATCATGATGAGGCCCTGCCTGTGATTTCAGAGGTGGCAATATTGTATGGTGGCAATAAGGAAGTTGTATACCTGGCTGACAACACACACGTTTGCCTTCCCAGGTGTATCATCTGTGTTTTTTCTGCCATCATTACTTACAGACTTTCAGGGATAATTTCCCATTATATACTGGAAACAACATTCATATCAATAGCCCATTTGCTATTGGCCCCAGTGGCTGCAGGCTAAAGCAAGACTGGATACAGTGCAGCAGCAGCAGCAGCAGCAGCAGCACACTTACACCACTATGTGGCAGAATTGTGCATATTTAGACAATGGCCCAGTTTGCATGCCACCTTCAACCACAGTTAATTTAAAGAATGAACAGTATGCTGGCGCATACTGTTCAGAAGTTTGTGCTTCACTCCTTCCCCGCACCTGCCTGCTGCCTTCTGGGGCAGAAGCAAGCCAGATAGGTTACATGCAGGTATGGGTTCATGGTTTGTGTCCCACAAACAAACCACGATCAGTAAGCCAAAACCAAACCTTAGGTTCCACTTGTGATTTGCTTGGAGAGAAACAAACCAGTAGTCTGGTTTTACACTGTGTCCTTTCTGGTGCAGAAGCAGCAGGACTGGGGGTAGAGTGAAGCGCAGACATGAGCAGTGTGCAGCAGTGACTGCATTGTTTGCTTGCATTAAACAATCATTTGTCTTACTTGTAGCTTAATGTGCAAACTAGGCAGAAAGTTAATTTCCTGGACAGAACTGATAATGAGGCAAGAGGGGCATATTAGACAAGGGGAAAGGGAAAGGGAAAGAAAGAAAAGGAAGATTGATGCTAGTGACATATATGACCATCTCAAAAGAAAGTTTGGAAAATGTCTATCGTGATTAGGGAACTAGGATTAGCAACATTACAGGTGCCCAGACAAAGAAAGAGGATGTGGGTACAATCTGCTTTACCAGTGGGGAAGAAGTGAGAATAAAGATTGAGAAAGCTGAGGACAATACACCGGCTTTCTGTTTTCCTGGATCACTGGCAAAAAGATTTCTGAGTACTTTATTGGTGAAAATATTCAGAATTCTGTCCTCATGAAGGATCTAACAGACAGATCTCTTGCATTCTCTTGGCTACACACCTTGTGTGTATCACACCTTGTCAGGAGGGTTAAATATTGTGTTATGGTATAATGTGCTTCTTGGCAGCTCACATTGAGCAGGGGACATATTACTGTGTTTTGTACCAGCTGTGCCCTCTGAATACTGGCAGGCCAACAGATAAAGTCCTAAGATGGCAAAAACATGATAACAATTACTGTCGGAATACAAAACTTCCAGCCTTTACAGTATAATAGGGTAATCCAATGCTCAAGGAGCTGGCGCAAAGCATGCTGGCCCAATTGAGGCTGCTGTATAGTCCATCAGAAGCCCAGAGGAGGTGAAAGTACTAAGCTGAGCAGGTATTTACAAAGCAAATACACAAAATACAGAATGTTGGTGTATCCAACCTTGCTGCCAGCTGTTGATGTACACAGAGGAGTATTTATAAATCACTCGGTTCTGCTTTGGTCAGACCTCACCCGGAATACCGTTTCCAGTTCTGGGCACCACATTTTAAGGGGGATATCGACAAGCTGGAACACGTGTAGAGGAGGGCGACCAAGGTGATAAAGGATCTGGAAGCCAAGCCTTATGAGGAATGGTTGAGGGAGCTGGGTATGTTTAGCCTGGAAAAGAGGAGACTGAGAGGAGATATGATAGCCGTCTTCAAATATCTAAAGGGCTGTCACATGGAAGATGGAGCAAGCTTGTTTCTGTTGCTCTGGAGGGTAGGGCTCGAAACGATGGATTCAAATTACAAGGAGGTTCCCACTAAACATTTCAGATGGTAATATCTGTTTGACAGTGGAACAGACGACCTCCGAGGATGGTTGATTGGAGGTTTTTAAACAGAGGTTGAATGGCCATCTTTAGCTGAGATTCTGGCCTTGCGGTGTGTGTGTGTGTGTTTGTGTGAACCTCGGGGTCTCTTCCAACTCTACAATTCTAATATTCCAGAAGGAGAGGGGTCGCTTGCCGTGGCACGCTGAGCCCCCCAAACTGCCAGTCTGGTGGCAAATTCTGCATAAATTGCACAAACTGCAGCAGGTCCAGGAAGCACCAGGGAGCCTGCAAGGAGAGAAGGGTGGGGTGGTAGAGCATCAGTATGCTGCCCACATGGAGCCAGAGAGTTTGACCCTTCCTAACAATGACCCCGGATGAGGCCAATGAGGAGCTAGTGGGCAGAACACACCCACTTGGCATGTTCCATGAGAACTCCAGAGGAGGAAGAGCAGGGTGGAATGGGCAGGCAGCTCCTGTGGTTGAAGCTTTGCATTTAAGTCAAGCACCACAGGGTTTTGAGCCCCTAGTGCTTAATGGCAGTTAAATCTAGAGAAATAAATGTGTCTAAGAACCCTCATTGTGAGTAAACAAATGTGCCAAACTGCATTTTAACTGGTATCTAATCTGCAAGCAAATCAGTCTTAAATATCCATCGTTGTAAAACAACCCTTTCACCACATTGCTTAGCATTTTTAGAATATCCATTGGACCAGGATCTTCAGTGTCATTACAAACCTGTGCACATCAACCAGTTTGTGCTCAAACGGATGACTAAGAACAAATAATAGAAAGAAGGTTCTAATAATTATATAGAATCTTTTTTAGTACATGTTCTTTTAAAATCAGACTTTTAGAATTCCCTGAATAGAATGGAATGCAAATGAGATAAGGGTTCCCATAGGGTTGTTGAGTTCATTATTTGACCCTCCCCACAAGCCAAATGCCATTTTCATGATTCACTGCTGAGGAAAACCCAAGTTGAAAAACAACTGGCATGCAAACCGTAAACTTCTTCACCACATATTTTATTTCCTCTTTTTAGAGGGAAGCAAGCAGACCAAAGTTCCTGTTTGTGTTTTTTTTTAAATGTCACCCTTCTGAAGTTATGGTGAATTCAAGGTGGTGTTGTAGTAGTGGCAAAAGATAAAGTACGCATTTCCACCATCACTACCAGGTACTTAGTTGTGGGAAGAAGGGGAATATATGTAAATGGTGTCAGAGAGATGCATATCTTTGGTGTTGTAGCTATGCTCTGTGGAAAATTACACAGTAGAGCAACTTTAATGTTTTTCCTTGTTGCAGTCAGAATTATTCAGAAACTATACTAGTTACAGGCAAGCTACCAATCTCCCTCCCTTACCCTGAGTAAATGAAAAAGTAAAAAGAACCATTGGTTTCCTCTTTTCCAAATTTCTGATCGCAAAACTACTCAGTAAACAGTGCCCTCAAAGTGCAAAACAAAAAACCAGTGCAAAACAAAACAAAAAACTTTACACCAAGCAGTTAGCTGCTGACAGTGATGCTCTACTTCTCAGAAAAACTTGTGTTTTTTTAAAAAATAAATAACAAGTGATTTACAACAGCAGAAGCAAATATATTTATTGCTAGGTTAATGTTTATTGTTTGTAATAACATCTAAACTAAAACATGAAAGAGACAGGCTACAGTACACGAGAAATCCCTAGCTGTAGTTATGCATTGATAATGGTTAGATAACTTGCCCTTTTTGGTTGCAAGCAGTATGGGAGATAGACAGGTACAGTTGTACCTCGGGTTACAAACTCTGCTAACCCGGAAGTAGTACCTCAGATTGAGAACTTTGCCCCAGGATGAGAACGGAAATTGCGCCGCAGTGGTGTGGACGCAGCAGGAGGCCCCATTAGCGAAAGCGCGCCTCAGGTTAAGAACTGTCTCGGGTTCAGAACGGACCTCCGGAAAGAATTAAGTTCGTAACCTGAGGTACCACTGTAACTAACAAATAAACATTAAAATGGGTTGTAGGACCTATAGTCCTCTGGATGCTATTGGACTCCAACTTCCATCATCCCCAGCTAGCATGGCTTATAGTCTGGGGTGATTGGAGTTGTATTCCAACAACATTCAGTGAGCCATCGGTTTTCCATCCCCTTATTAACGTGATATTTTTCTCTTGAAAGCAAAGTGTTGAAGAGAACAAAGAGTTAAATGTGTGGGTACAACTGAAACCAAGTGATGCTAAAAATAAAAGTGGAATTTCCCACAAACACTGAATGACAACTAAACGAGGAGGTATGTGGCAACTTAAAAACTGACAAATATACTGTGGCATGGACATTTATGAACTGAAGTGCAGTTCACACACACACACACACACACACACACACACACACAACTATTTCAAACCCTCTAACATTTCTCCAGTGAAAATAGGGACGTCCTAGTTCATCATCATCATCATCATTTTATTATTTATACTCCACCCATCTGACTGGGTTGCCCCAGCTACTCTGGGCGGCTTCGAACATATATAAAAACATTAAACATTTAAAAAGTTCCCCATACAGGGCTGCCTTCAGATGTCTTCTAAAGATTGTATAGTTACTTATCTCTTTGGTTCGGCGGTCACATAATTCCATACCTTCCAACATTTCTCTGATGAAAATAGGACCATCATAAGGAAAGCAGGACATTCTGGAATCAAATCAGAAACCAGGACGGCTTCTGTAAATCCAGGCCTGTCCCTGGAAAATATGAGACACTTGGAGGGTCTGCTATTTTCATGCCTAACTGAACCACTGTGGTCAACCTCCTCAGTTGCAATCCTCTGTAAATGTTCCCCAGTGCCATAATTCAACTTGAAAATGGCTTCCTATTGACTCCAGGAGGGGCTTTTTCAGTCTAAAACCTTCATGGAGGGAATGGGGGTGGGCCTGTTGTACGCTGGTTGAGGAGGCTCCATAGGCCACTTCCAGCCTACAGACTGCTGGTTCTTCATCCCACTATGTAAGCTAGGGTTATTTGCTACAACCTTTGGCGAAAGTACTGTCTTACTATACTAATTAATCTCTACATAGTTAGATGGACAACCTCTGCACTGTGGGAGGAAGTGGAGACTGAGGGACACAGGCAAAGTCAGCATCAACGCATTCTCCATTTGGACTTCTCCCTCCCTCGCCTGTTCAATCATATTTTTTTCAGTCCTTTTAAACTGTAAACCACCTTGGGCGCCTTGGCATAAAGACAGTATACAAATGCAATGAATAAGGAAAAAAAAAATCTTAGCTAGTGTTTGGACACCTGTTGAAAAGGTGGCTCATTTTTTAGACGCGGTAGGGCTTTGGGTAGGGCTTCAAGGTAGTCATTTCTTAAAGCAGCACTGCAGTCTAGTCTCTGAGAATGTTAATGTTTGCAACATATAAAAGGGGCTTGGAAATGCTATAGGAGCCTGTCAATTGTTGTTCTGAGGGATGAAATCATTGCTTATTGAGTCCGTAATCAAGCTAAAATAAACATCTGCTATCCTTCACTTAGGGACGCGGGTGGCACTGTGGTCTAAACCACTGAGCCTAGGGCTTGCCGATTGGAAGGTTGGCAAGATGAGCACCGCAACCCCAGAGTCGTTCATGACTGGACTTAACTGTCAGGGGTCCTTTACCTTTTTTATCCTTCACTTGTTGCTTTGGTCATGGCATTCGGATAGAGTAAAATAACAGTTGCTGCTGGTAATGCAAGGGACAAGAGGTCCAGTTCTGGAAGAGGGTGGTGGTTCCTTTCAGAAGAGCTAGTAAAATACAGTGGTGCCTCGCAAGACGAAAAGAATCCGTTCTGCGAGTCTCTTCGTCTTGCGGGTTTTTTCGTCTTGTGAAGCAAGCCCATTAGCGGATTAGTGCTACAGTACTGTATTAGCGGCTTAGCGGGCTTAGTGGATCAGCTGATAAGCGGCTTAACGATAAGCTGATAAGCGGCTTAACGATCAGCTGATAAGCGGCTTAACGATAAACTGATAAGCGGCTTAACGATCAGCTGATAAGCGGCTTAGCATCAGCTGTTAAGCGGCTTAGCCATCAGCTGATAAGCGGTTTAGCGGCTTGGGAAAAGGGGGGAAAGGAAAACCCCGCAGGAACTCGCAAGACATTTTCGCCTTGCGAAGCAAGCACATAGAAAATTCGCTTTATGGCATCCTCCAAAACGGAAAACCCTTTCGTCTAGCGGGTTTTCCGTCTTGCGAGGCATTCGTCTTGCGGGGCACCACTGTAATATAGGGCAGATACAAAGTCTTTCCCCATGAGACAAGTTGCTTAGAATGAAGGCCACAGTCTTGACACCTGAATTTTATAAGGTTTTTTGGAACCAGGTTGGCAGTGGGGAGGTTAGCTGATAGTGCCAAGCCAGGAGCCTGCTGATTGAGTCAGCCAGCTTGCATTGCAAGCAAGCTGGCACCCTTTGTCTCCAAGTGCCTTGTGTTTGCTTGAGATAGCTCATGACCCACTAGCCTACTTACAAACACACTGGCCATTAAGATGGACCGAGTTTCTATGCAGGGATAATGGCATATCTGAGGGACTTCTGGGGAGATGCACGGTGTGTTCTGTGTATAGAGACATTACACCCCACGCATGAATTCCCTGCTGGTGGAGGTAACACAACTTTATCAGTACAGTGGTACCTCGGGTTACAAACGCTTCAGGTTACAGACTCCACTAACCCAGAAATAGTACCTTGGGTTAAGAACTTTGCTTCAGGATGAGGACAGAAATCACGCGGTGGCAGCACGGCAGCAGCAGGAGGCTCCATTAGCTAAAGTGGTACCTCAGGTTAAGAACAGTTTTGGGTTAAGAACAGACCTCTGGAACGAATTAAGTTCTTAACTAGAAGTACCACTGTATTTTTTTTTTTAATTCCATAATTTATTTAAAAGATTCATCCTTACTTGTTTTAAGTAAGTCCAGATATTTTTCTGTTACTTAAATAGTGGTTTGTAAAAAGACCAATGTGTTGTCATCAGTGTTAAGATGCCCACTTTCTTGTCAGTCTGAATGCTTTACTCCCTGCTGTAGAAAGTTGGCTTAGGAAGCAGCACTCTCATGGCAGTTTTATATTTCCCAGTCATCTCCTTTGGTAATGGCACATTACCAGGGCAGGCAATATGGCCTCCAATTTCACACATACATTGCCACAAGTGGTACTTTTTGGGGCCAAATGTTGTGGGATGCCGTAGCTTCATTTTCTCTTGTGCTTCTCCCTGCAGTGTCTCCTCGCTTTTACCAAGAACTTTCTTAACATGTTCTGCGATCTCTTTGTCAGTCTTCTCTTCCACATCAACCAGGACTTGCTCTCCAGTATCTAAATAGAATTTTAAGCATGGCGGTGGTTTCATGTTCTTAAACATCACAATCTGAAGCCAAGGGTTTTTGTACTGAATCTGAGGTATGTTGAAAAACACAAATTTTCTGGCTCCTTTGCTGAGAGGCCCCCTCGTGTTGTAGTTCACCGTCATCACCTTCATGGCGTCCTTGAAGATGATGTCGCCCTAGCTCAGGTACTGCAGCGTCCTGCGGATGGGGAACCGGCTCTTCATTGGCATGGCGGCGGCAGCCAGCAGCCCCGCACGCACCGTGTAGCCAAGGGCAGCGGCACAAGTCTGCGGCGCAACTTCCTTGCTCTGACCCACCTGGGTGGGAGCGAGGTACCACTGTATTGAGAAGTAATTGAGAAGAGCTGCATTGAAGCAGTAATAATGTCACCTTATTTGTTGGAGCACTTTGGGGGACAGAAAAAACAGCATTTTGAGTGGTAGTGCACTTGTCACCATTACGTATATCTGGGCACGCAGTCTTTAGGTCTTGATCTTCAGTGCCTTGTTTCTGTTGTGTTAGATATTTGGTTTTTAGTTTCATGGAAGCTTCCTGGAATTCCTTGTTCACAAAGTAATAGCAAATGGCATCCAAACAGCAGTTGGTGTTGGCAATAATTCCTGCAAGGTTTGTAAAGTTGTCAATTTTTTCTATCAGAGTGCAGCTGGCCTCAGCGAAGTCAGCTATGGACCGAATTAAGTATGCAAAATGAATAGGTAAGAAGCATATGACAAATACGCTCATATTTGCAAAAATGATATTGATTGCTTTCTGGATGCGCTTTTCTTCATATGGGTTTGTTTTCTTCTTCTTCATGAGTTTCTTTGTGATTTGAATGGAACAGAAACTAAAAATAGTTAATGGTATAAAAAATCCCCAAATGACAGATGCAAAGACATACATTGATGGTTCTCTGGAAATCCTTCTAAAGCAAGTGCCTGATGAAGCTCGTTTCTCAAATTTTTTAGTTACATATACAATGCTGATAATCAAGGCCCAGAGAAACCCAGAGATAACAGCTGACTTCAGAGGGGACCGTATATGCCTTGCTTTGAGGGGATATTTTATGGCAATGTATCGATCAACTGCTGTGATGGTGATAAGGAAGATGCTCATATACCTGTTAATGAAGTATGCAGACTCAAAGGCCAAACACAGTGTAGTCACATTGATTGTCTTATAAGCCATCTTGAAAGGCAAAGTAAAAAGCAACAAAAAATCTGCAATGGCTAAGTTGGTCATGTATACTCTCGTTTCAGTCCACTTGCTCAGAGTGCAACAGAATATCTTCAAGGCCAAGGCATTCAGGATGACTCCAAAGCAGAAAATGGGGATATAAATAAGTGCTTGAGTGAGAAATATCTCTTGACTGCTAGTGGTGTTGCAGTTCAATTCCTGACTCACTTCTTGGGTCATTTCCATACTGGTGCTGTAAAAGAAACATGCTATAGTTATTATATACCTTTAGTGGCCAGGCAAAAACGTTCCTCTTCAACAGGTTGGCTGTTTAACAACCTGTGCACTTTGGGATGTGTTAGTGGGAATGGGTGTGGAGAATGGGGTTATTGGGTTGTTACCGTTTTTATTGTGTGTTTTGTGTTTTTATCTTGTATTTTAACGCTGTGATCCACCCTGGGATCTACAGATGAAAGGAAGTGCACAAATTTTATAAATAACATTAACAATAATATTTCTGTAATGCCAGCATTCAAGCTGTTAATAATAATCTTTCATACTTCTTTTTTTTTAAATGATATTTATTAAAATTTCAAAAACAAAAAATTACATAGTTAAAGAGAAAAGAAACAAGGAAAAATATATATATATATAAAAGAGAGAAAAAAACATACAAAATACAAAGTACAGAAAAAAAATAAAAAAGAAACACTTAAAAACAAATTAATCCTTCCGTATCTTACATTTCATTTCCTTGCTTCCCTGACCTCCTCTCACCTCCCTTTTTTGTATTCCAGTTCAATTGGTTAATTCAGCAATTCCTTTCCCTCTTTGTTTATATCTTAGTCCTTTAAATAATCTTTCATACTTCTACAGAGTTTTGCATTCCAAATATTTTGCTTATTTAAATATGTACGCTTATTTAAATATGTAAGCAGCACTGTCATATAAATTATGACAGCAGCCCCATAAAAGTATATCAGTATTATTTATCCTCATATAGCAGCAGATACCCATGTAGTCCTGATCAATAATAACTGGAGATCTCTTTTTCCCCCTGGCATGGTTATAACTAGCAGGAGTGCGAGCTTGGCTCCGCAACCATAGGTGCCCGGGACTGTGGGTGCCATACAGCGTGCATGGCCCTGGCAATGAAATTTGTGAGTGCCTGGCCCCTTCATAGGGAATTTTGTGGGTGCTCTGGCACCTAGGGCCCCAGGGAGTTGGCATCTATCATAACCAGCCTGAACCAGAAGGGTCTGCAATCATACTTGGAGCTAACTGCATGGAGTTAGTGCCAACACAGTTTACAGTTATAATCATGTTGCCACTATAATGTAGTCAAGGAGTCCTGTATGACAATCTCTTGAAACTCAACTAGATTTGGTGTCACAAAGGACCTTTTATCCGCTGAGGCTGATGTGCTGACTGTAGACAGAGGGAGACTAGTCACACTGATCCATGCCCTGGTAACTTCAAACTTCGGCTACTCTGCAGACAGTTTGGAAACTACAGCTAGTCCATAACACTGAAGCCAACCATTGCTTGCCAGTTTTGAAACCAATGAATGAGCATCTATTAGAACATTCTGTTCTATTCCCACTACGCAAAGTGATTGTCCTTATCTAGCGATTAAATTAGAATAACAAGATAGCATATAAATTATGTACATAAAAAATAATGTGTAAGGTTGACCTTGCAGAGTCTTATTTAAGGACTTCACCATCTCACAAATGAAGAAAATTGTCCCATCATGAGATTAAAAAGGGGAAGATAAACAAGCCACCCACATTTTTGATTTTCACACTATTTGCTTCCCAACTGCATATTTTTAACAGCTGCTAGATTAGAAAGAAAAGCCTGAGTTTACAGACAGTAGTGGATTCTAGCCCGCTGAAAAGCCTGAGGACAACCTTTCTGGCAGGCTGCAATCCACTGCTGTGTAAACTCAGTCTTTGCTTCTGATATGGCAGCTGTTAAAGAAATATGCAGCTGTGAACCCTGGAAGCAAAGACTTTGCAAATCTGAGTGGTGATAAGCTGCAGCAGAGAGAAACTATCAGATTAAAAGCACAAAGACAATGTCTCCACACAGCAGAACTTACCACTCAAGAGTTCCAAGTAGTCCACTTGAACAAGTCTGGGATCTTTTGGTTGAGCTTGGAGTATCCTTGCCGTAGGTTTGTTTTCTTTTCAACTCGGTGTGGTAAGTCTGGCTACTCAGCCTCCTCTTTTGAAAATCTTGTTCTCACAGCCTGTTTTTCCTGTGAACCAACTGTTCACTGCTCTTGAAAAGTTGTCTTGAAATCATATCTTGAAAAGTTTAGTATTTTAATTTTGAAGTTAGTTTTCTCAGAATTCGCAGGCACAGTGGGAAAATTTTAAGACTATATATTTGTCAGTTAGATCTTTATCTATTTACGTGTATATAGCCTGTTCTGCAAACACAATTTTTTTCATGACTAATAAGTCATCTGCTGTTTTTCTGCTGTTAAATAATGCTTAGTCAAGGAAATGCATTCGAAGTCGTGTGGTCTGTTGCAAAATACAGCGCAGTATCTCACTAAGAACATAAGAACAGTCAGCTGGATCAAGCCCAGGGGTCAGCAAACTTTTTCAGCAGGGGGCCGGTCCACTGTCCCTCAAACTTTGTGGGGGGCCGGAATATATTTTTTGAGGGGAAATGAATGAATTCCTATGCCCCACAAATAACCCAGAGGTGCATCTTAAATAAGAGGACACATTCTACTCATGTAAAAACACACTGATTCCCGGACCGTCCGCAGGCCGGATTTAGAAGGCGATTGGGCCAGATCCAGCCCCCTTAGTTTGCCTACCCATGAGCAATAGCCCATCTAGTCCAAACTGTCTTAATATTGTTTTTAATGCTGCAAAGCTGCACTGGGACCTTAGGGTGAAGGGCAGATAAGAAGTAAGTAAGGAAATAAATAAAAAATATTCTCCTTGCTTCCTGGCTTCCCTGCATTCCCTCCAGTTCATCCTCCTTGCTTTTTGACTTCCCTGCTTTCCCTCTCCTCCTGCCCGACCCCCCAATTTTCCTTCTCCATTTAGTGCCCCTTGCTTCACCATGGCATTTCTCCTTCCCATTTCATGTCATATTCATTTTCCTTCCTTTCCCTTCTACTAACACACAGAGTCCCGGTCATAGGAGCCAACTCCTAGGGGCCAAGGGGACTTGGACCTCCCCCCAATAAAATATTTTTGGGGTGTTTCTCTAAAAGTTGATGGGCACCACCATTCAAATGGTGTGTGCACACCATGTCATGTGATTGATTATGCGGGAGGGGACCACTCCAATATTTTATTGAAGTTGGCACCCCTGGCTCTGAGCAAGTTCCATTCTACCTATGTGTGCAGTTTTCTCCTGATGGACAGTGTTATGTACTGAAGTTCTCACCCTGGGCCCGCAGGGGGATACTGTAGATAGTTCAGGTCCACATATGCAAATAAGGGATCGAAAGTGACATTCAGTGATTGGATAGTTATAGAAAATGGTTACTGTTGCGTTCTAGTGGAGCTCTATATAAGCAGGCTGGCTGAACCCTTCAGTTCAGTTCTGTTCTGGCCTGTGAATAAACAAGAGCTGTTTGAAGAATCGCTGTGTCGTCTGATATGTTTACCCACAACTTAACAGGCAGGTTCCCAGCTTTGCAAGAGAACAGCTTCAGTCTGCAGCCAGTAAGCTATGGCGCAAATGCAAGAGAGATGTCAGTCTGCAGAATCGAAAGAGGAGGCATGTTTTTTGGGAGGCGGGGGGAGAGGGAAGGGAGAAAGAGGAATGCACTTCCACTACCATCATAAGGAGTGTGCAAAGCAGGTCTGAGCCCCAGCAGAGAGGCTTGATATTCCCTATCCATGCTCTGACCTAGCACCCTTAATAAACTACAGTTCCCAGTGGTGCACACTCTTTTTTTGGTTCACCTCAGGCAGCAGAGTGTCTTGGGCAGCCCTGGATATGACAGAGCTGGTGGATGGATGGGAGGGAGGAGCTGAATTTCACCTAAGTGGCCATATTGATGTAGCGCCAGCACAAGTAATCTGACAGCTTTGGATGAGATTGGCAGGTGAGCAGGCAGCTGATTCATTATTTCTGTCTTAACTAGATGAAATGGCAACAGCGAGCCATCACTTGCTAGGACAAAACTGGTCATCTGAATCCTTGTGGCATTGATAAAATGCACCTTATTGTAGGTTAGCTAACGTATGTATTTTATAAAGCAACTGATAAATATAAATAGTAACTAGGAGCATGAGATTCTTAATCCCACGGTTGTGGGTTTGAGACCCACACTGGGCAAAAGATTCCCGCATTGCATGAGGTGTTAGACTAATGATCCTCATGATCAGCTCTATAATTTCAGCTCCATAATTCTATATATAATTCTTTCAGCTCTATAATTCTATGATGCTGTGAACTAGCTAATCATGGGAGGCATTCAATGTACAGTGGTACCTCGGGTTACAGATGCTTCATGTTACAGACTCCGCCAACCCAGAAATAGTACCTCGGGTTAAGAACTTTGCTTTAGGATGAGAACAGAAATCGTGCGGCGGCAGTGGGAGGACCCATTAGCTAAAGTGGTACCTCAGGTTAAGAACAGTTTCAGGTTAAGAACGGACCTCCAGAACGAATTAGGTTCTTAACTGAGGTACCACTGTAGCTTTGAGATTGCATACATAGTGGAACAATCCTCCCAGAGGCAATGGTGTGTGTGTGTGTGTGTGTGTGTGTGTGTGTGTACGCATGAGGAGGACAGGGTGGGAAGTCCCTTTGTGCTAGCATCATCATCATTTTTAATTTGTATACCGCCTTTCTATCTTACAATACTCAAGGCGGTTTACAAGCTGAAGAAACAAAAAATGTACATCTTATAACAATCTAATGCAATACAAAAATGTGATAATAAAACATAACTTTAAAATAGGCAGCCTACATCAAAATAGTAACATTGAACAATCAATTAGAATAGTATAAAATAATAATAACATATAAAAGTTAAACAGAAATCCACTCAACAATTACAATAATATCTAAACTATAATCAATAAAACAACGGCAAGCCACAGTACATAAAACAATACAATACACATTGAGAAGCAGAGGGTAGGGCAAGGCAGGTGGAAGGAGGCTTTGCCTGATGGAGTCTCTCCCCTCTCCCCTAGCAGAAGGCCTTGTGTGTGTTATGTATTGAAGTTCTCACCCTGGCCAAAAGGAGTATCATCTATGTAGTTTTCACTCAGGTCCACATCAGTTACTTTAGGCGGGAAACCCTGGGTTGTTGTTGCTACAATGTTGACAGCCGGCTGCCTATAAAAGCAGGCCGGCTGAGCTGTTTGCTGTTCAGTTCTGTTCCAGCTTACAAATAAAGAGCTGCTTTGGAGAAATTGCTGCGTCGTCTGCTATGTCTACCCACAACTTAACAGTGTGGCTAGTGGGACCTGCTAATTCAATCCAGACCCATGTACTGTATTTTAAAAAGAACTTGTTCACACATTTTTGCGTGGATGACAACAGCCTATGATGTCTCAACCACACAAAAGGAATGGTGAACTGTAAGGGTTGCTTCCTGTTCCAGACATCTCTCTTCAAGGCCTTTTTTATATATATAAAAATAATAATAGAAAAGTTCTTCCAGATTCTCTTTTCCCCTTACCCAGTCTTGAAATAAGGCTTGGCTGCTAGTGATCCAAGGTCAGTCACCTGTGTGATTACTCCTTTTTTTGTAGCCACTAACACCAACAGGCTCACGGATAGTTCAGTCAGAAGAGCATGAGATTCTTAATGTGAGGGTCGTGGGTTCAAGACCCACGTTGGCCGAATTTTTCCTGCATTGCAGGGGGCTGGACTAAATGACCCCCTTGGTCCCAACTCTACAATTCTATTATTCTTTGTGGTGAACTAGCAATAACGAAGCTGGAGGAAGAGTAGGGAGGTAAACAAAGCCGACAATAAATCCTTGCAAGAAAATCTTTCTTCCAGCATTCAAAAGGCACCTTCAATTTAATGCTGGCCAGGAATCAGGATCCCAAAGTGGAAGTTAGCAAGCTGCAGGCTCCTAGTGCTTAACAGCTTTCTTCTCTGAAGTGTGGTTGGCTGACTTCCTGCTAACTACAATGCCTTGGAACTGAGTCTCTGTTGGGTTATCACTTAGCTTTAATTGCATTTCCTGTTGCACCAAAGAAGTCTAAGCTTGGCATAATAAACTCAAGTGTAGGATGTAACCCCATGTATTTCCATACTTAATCATTTAATTAATTTCATAAAAATTTACATACTGCTCAATTGTAAAAAAAAACCTTCCGTATGTGCATGCCTGTTTTATGTATTACAGTGTTACCTCGGGTTAAGTACTTAATTTGTTCCGGAGGTCCGTTCTTAACCTGAAACTGTTCTTAACCTGAAGCACCACTTTAGCTAATGGGGCCTCCTGCTGCCGCTGCACCGCCAGAGCACAAATTCTGTTCTCATCCTGAAGCAAAGTTCTTAACCTGAGGTACTATTTCTGGGTTAGCGGAGTCTGTAACCTGAAGCGTATGTAACCTGAAGCATATGTAACGTGAGGTACCACTGTATATGTGTTTTATTACATGTGCTGTTCTTGCTACTTTTGCTTGCTTGCTGAAATCTGTTTGTTCATTTTTTTGGCTACTGCCTTTACTTTGGTTGATCAATATAGTTTGATTTGATTGTAAAGTGGTTGGTGTTGCTAGATCCCCGTTCACTTGAGCAACACACATAGCCCAACAGAATAATTCGCTAACAACACAAACCTATCCGTCTTTATTAAGAAGTACCGGTAAGTCTCATTGTGTTCATTAGCACTTATTCTCAGGTAAGTGCATAAAATTCAACTTTCAGGGTGTTTTCGCACATTAAAGCATATTTAAATTGCTCTTGTATTTACTTGTGTGTACAGTGCAGATATTTATTATTGCATTTTGGTACTGTCCTTCCAAGGAGCTCAGTGTCATGTTACATGGTCTTCCCCTTGCCTTCATTTTATCCCTGAGGTAGGTCACACCAGCAAGCAAAAGTGACCAGCAAGCAGTTGAATATGCACATCCCATTTATCATTCTTTTCTGTCTTCAGAGGCGGTAAACAGGATAGAAGAGAGTCAAAGTGTATAATAAATTGTTTATTTAATACGTTTTAACACATGTTCGTGATCAGCTGTTTCAAGGCACATACACCCAAAGTGGTTGTTTTGTTTTAAATGTAAAGCTTTTGAAAACACCATCTTACAAAACAGCAATAAAACCAGCCGCAGTAAAATAAAAAACAACTGAAGCTCAAAAACCAACAGTAAACTCAGTCAGGAGGATGAAATGCCTGATTCTCAAAGGAAAATGCATCCCCTTGTCATCCTTTGAAACAAACAAACAAAAAGGGATGGTGGCAAATGGCCGTAGCTGTCAACGTTTTCCTTTTTTTAAGGGAAATTCCCTTATTCCGAATAGGATTCCTCGCAAGAAAAGGGAAAAGTTGACAGCTATGCAAATGGCTGACAGTTTCTACAACCACCTGGGTCTAGGGAGGGGATCTAATCACCTTTTTCAATGAGACCAGAACCACCCCTTCTCTTAATGAACTATTTATGGAGACACATTACTTTGTTATTTGCTTGTTGTCCTTAATATAGTTAGTAAGTTGAACCAGGAACTGCAGTTCAGTACAGCAGCAGGCCTGATTAGCTGGATGCAATTGGAAACGTGGTTTCACTTGGTGCCCGTCACTTTCCCCCATGGCAATCTGTGGCTGAAGCAGCGTGCTTGCAATGAAACTCTGCAACGCTGACAAGACGTGTCGGAGATCTCCCATCTTTTAAACCAAGGCTTTGTTTCCGACGGCACATTTCTCAGAGCCCCCCCCCCATTGATGACTATGACTCAGCTGAATCCAATAAAAAAATCCATCACAGCAAATACTTCATTGTTCACATGACCCCGATTAAGTATTGAAATATATTTCAAGGAAAAGTAAACATCTATAAGAGAAGGGGTGTAGAATGGGGAATACAGATTGGAACAGAGCGACCTTTTTTCATTCACAATAAGGTGCTCATCTTTTTTGGATATGGGTTCCACAGAGAAATGTCATACAAGCCGCCTGCCGTCTCTTTGCAGAAGTACAAAAATATTTTTTTATCAGGGGGTTGGAACCCCCAAAGGGTGCTTTTAAAAACAAAAACAAGCAACTCGGTAAAGACTGAGCACCGTATTTTTCCATGTATAAGACGCCCCCTATTTTTGGGGACTCCAAATTAAGAAAATGGGGGGAAGATTGCCCATAGTTGTTGAGCTTTTTTGGGGAGGGGCAGAGTTGTTTTTTTTTGGGGGGGGAGGGATTGCCAAAAATCGCTCACCTGCCTAACTGATGGTGACTCACACACATTGCAAAAGCCACCGATTGTCTGTCCCACCAATAACACGTACAATAGCCGCTGATAATATCCGGCTCACGAAAGGAACCAATCCCACGTCCCCCCTATGCACTATCTGTGTATAAGACGACCCCCTAATTTTAATTTCTTAATAAAAAAACCTCGTCTTAAACACAGAAAGGTACAGTATGTTCAGAGGGTAGACAACATTGATTGACTGCTGGAGGGGAAAATGAAATGCCTGGGGGGGGGGCAGGAGCGCCAGTTCCTGGGGGTTGAGCGCTTTTGGCCCCCCCTATATTTTTGGAGTAGGAGCTGGGTCCCCCAATGTTCAAAAAGCATGGAGCTGATTGCAGGACAGCTCCAGTGACTGGCTCCTTCCCCTCCTACTCCAGCCATTGAAGCCCCCCTTGCAAGTCACCAGCCATTGAAGCCCCCCTTGCAAGTTGGTGCCTCTGCTGGGGGGACAAGAAGGAGGAGGAATGGAATGATGGGGCGTGGCTGGAAACCTGAACAGGAGCACTTGCCAACTGCAACATTTTGTTGCAGCAGGTACCAGTTGGTCCTACATATTACTAATGAACTCCTTTTCTAAGTTATGCAGCCAGAATGGCATCGTCCACACACAAGAGGGTGGTATTGCTATCAAGAGGCTTGGGGGGACCCTAAGGGTTGCAGAAGTACACCTACTAACCACCCCTACTTTAGGGAAAAAAATTCCTCAGGTGGAAGAAACCCCCTAAACAGCCCAATCAGGCCTGTGTTCATGCTTCCTGGTCACAGAATGCGGACTGACTGCTGGAAGGTGGGAGGGGAGATGGAAACCAGGGGAGAGGGAAGGAGCTAGATGCAGTATGCTGAAAAGGGCATGGCTGGCTAGCAAGAACCCTGAAGAAGAGCATTTGAGCTGCAGCTCAGTAGTAGAACATCTGCTTTGCATGCAAAGGTCCCAGGTAGAATCCCTGGCAGGTAGGACTGGGAGAAACCCTCTGTCTGAACCCTGAGAGAGCCATTGCTAGTCGGTGTAGACAATATGGAGCTGGGTGGAGCAATGGTCTGACTCGGTGCCGGGCAGCTTCCTGTGTTCACTGCATATGGAAGGTTCTACTTCTGTTTCTGAGAATAGCTATCAAGGTGCAACCCAACTTGGCAGCATGATAGCACCCTTAAACCACATAGCTCAGTCTGCCAGGCTTGTGGTTATCCTGCAGTCTGGCTGCCAGGAACTGTGCTTCAAGACTTAACATGAGCAGGAAAATAACCATGTATGTTATGCAAATAATATGTGCATTTCTAAATAACCTTCTAGAATAAGCACATCACTATTTGTATGTTAAAACACACACACACACACAAACACAAACACAAAAAGTGCTTTTTTCTGGGGGTACACATACCACTAAACATTTTGTGAATCTTTTTACTTTTGTCCATTTACTGTATTTATTTGTCCCGATTAAATGGTGATTTTCTTGAGTCAAAATGTGTGTGTGTGTGTGTGTGTGTGTGTGTGTGTAATGAATTGACCCTTTAACTGACATACAATTCCTTTTTGTGTATAAAAAAGAAATGTATTTATGTGTTACATTTATATCTCACCTTGACCCCAAAGAGCTCAATTTTGCAATCAAACTTTTGCCTTTCCCAATTTTATCTGCACAACGTCCCGTGAGGTAGGTTAGACTGAGGCCTCATTTGCACTATACATTTGAAGCAGTATCATAATGCCAGTTTAAACAGCCATGGTTTCCCCCCAAAGTATCCTGGGCAGTGTAGTTTGTCAAGGGTGTTGAGAATTATTAAAAGGCAAAGGTAAAGGATCCCTGACAGTTAAGTCCAGTCACGAATGACTCTGGGGTTGCGGCGCTCATCTCGCTTTACTGGCCGAGGGAGCCGACGTTTGTGCGCAGACAGTTTTTCCGGGTCATGTGGCCAGCATGACTAAGCCGCTTCTGGCGAAACCAGAGCAGTGCACAGAAATGCTGTTTACCTTCCCGCCTGAGTGGTACCTATTTATCTACTTGCACTTTGAGGTGCTTTCGAACTGCTAGGTTGGCAGGAGCTGGGACCGAGCAACGGGAGCTCACCCCATCATGGGGATTCAAACCACCGACCTTCCAATCTGCAAGCCCCAGGCTCAGTGGTTTAGCGCCACTTGAGAGACCCCTATTCCCCTCACACAGTTACAATACCTCTTCCCAGGGAATTTTGGGAATTGTAGTTCCATGGGGGGAATAGGGGTCTCCTTTAACAAACTACACTTCCAAGGATTCTTTGGGCAAAGTCATATATATTTAAAGAGGTATGATGCTGCTTTAAATGTATAGAGCAGGTGGGGGCCTGAGAGACAGTGAGTGGCTGAAAGTTAGCTTCACAGTAGAGTGGGGATTTGAACTCTGGTCTCCTAGTTCTAGTCCAACACTCTAACCACTGCGCAATGCTTCTATATAAAAACTATATTGCACATCATGCAAAAACCAGCATTTATTTTTTTTAAAAGGTAAAGCTCTTAATATAGTATATGAACTCTGCAACCAAATGTATATCAATCATAAAACAAACTTACAATGCATAATGCAAATCCATCATTGTAAGCTGTATCAAACTACAAGCACTAATTCAGCTGAGGAAGGCCTGAGTATAAAGACAGGATTTCAACATGAAAAATACCATCTTAGATACAGGGATATGTATCTTTCCGCAAGAAGTATGGATCCAGAACATAATCTGCCGTTTCAGCAAGAGATGTTAAACCAGCACACTGATCTGCATCGGCAAAAATTCAAGGGAGCGGCATCGGTTTAAAACGTATCAACTAAAATTAACGTGATATCCAATTTGTTTACTGGTCTTGAATAGTTTGTAGGGCTTCGTTCGACATAGCGTTCGAAAGGCGATGTTTCAATTGATTGGACATAGTGCTCCAAAGGTGAGACTAGATGCATCTTAAAATGACGTTGTGATTTCAGCTGTTTAAACTTTGCAGTTGTGAATTTTCGGGTGTTTTGCTTTGCAGCTGTGAATCTTGAGTTAAGTCGGACCTGGACTGCATTGCGTTGAAGGGAGGCAAGAGTGCTGCAGCTTCCTGGAATTCCTTAGCAACCATGTAATAGCACACGGCATCCAAGCAGCAATTTAGCTTGGTCATTATCGCAGTTGCATGTATGGTATTGGCGATGGCTTGCCACACCTTGCAGTCAGCAACTTCAAATGCTTTTGCTAAGTAGCTAAACAGTAAACTCAAGTGGAAAGGCAGGAAGCATATAATGAAGGTGGCCAGGTTGATTGAGACCACCCAGATGGCTTTCTGGGTTAACTTTTCTTCATGAGGACCAGCATTATGTTTCTTCCTGAGGCATCGGATGACTTGTATAGAACAAAACAACAATATAACCAGTGGTATGAAAAAGAAAACGATTAATCTGACCAGGGTAAGAGCTTTGTTCTCCTTAGAAAGTTTATGAAAACAAAACTCTCCTTTCAACGAGAGACTGAATGGGATTGTATAAAGCAAGCAACAGAGCCAAACAAATAAGCAGAAAAGAGCTGCCTTCCGCGGAGACCTGATTACTTTGGCTTTCAGGGGATGTTTGATTGCAAGGTACCGATCAACCGCTATTAGCATGATGATGCCTATGCTCATTGGCATGTTCATGCTACTGATTCCGAATATGACAGAGCAAAAGTCATCCACAGGCCAGTTGTTGTAGTGAAAGTACATGATGAATGGTAAGATAAGGACCAGTGTGTAGTCCGCCAGGGCTAAATTGATCATGTAAACTCTGGTCTCTGTCCATTTGCCCAGTTTGAAGCAGAAAACCCACAAGGCAACTGTATTAAATATGACTCCGAAAAAGGTGAGTAGGCTGTAAAGAATAATTTCAAAAGTAAATATGCCCTGCTCAATCCTGCTACTGCAGTTCGCCATTATGACAGTTTTCTGTAAAGAGATATTTTAAAAATAAGTAGCAAAAATGGAATGCAGAGATAATTAAAGCTTGATTATTTGTTCTAACAACAGCACCTGGATTATTTAGATCCATTCCTATTATTATTAGTCAAATTTGCATACCACTGTATACCTGTAGATCTCAGGGCGGTTCACGATCTGTGTCTGGGCCTGGCAATTGAACCAAGGAGTTTTGGGGTGAGGTGCCATGGTCCCAAAATTCTGAGAGAAAGCAGCTGTTGAGAGTGATTTTGAATGTGGCAATGACATTCAGCCTCTGGGCAGTCCCTTCCTCCAGTTTCCACCAGTCTTGCTCTGATGTTGCCTGACTTTGTCTTTGTCACATCCGCACCATACATTTAAATTGCTATGATACCACTTTTTACAGGCGTGGCTTCCACTGAATAATAATGGGAGATGTAGTTTGTAAGGGGTATTGAGAGTTGTTAGGACAGTTTTTCTCCAGCTCGGCTCTCCAGCTGTTGTTGGACTACAACTGCTGTCATCCCTAGCTAGCAGGACCAGTGGTCAGGAATGATGGGAGTTGTAGTCCAACAACAGTGAAGAAACACTGTGTTAGGAGAACCTTATTCCCCTCACACACCTACAATTCCCTGGATGGTTGCCAGTTTTCCAAGGGAACTCTAATTGTAGAGGAATAGCAGTATCCTAACAACTCTCAGCACCCTTAGCAAACCACAGTATTAGAGTGTTATTATAGTGCTTTAAATGTATGTCGTGGGTGCTGGTATGTGTGTGTTTTTGTGTGTTTATAAGAGTAGAGAGATACAATCAAACCTCGGATCCCGACCGCCTCCATTTTGGAACATTTCGGCTCCTGAATGTCGAAAACTCGGAAGTAAATGTTCCACATTTTGAACACTTTTCTGAAACTGAACGTCCAATGCAGCTTCCGTTTGAGTGCAGGAAGCTCCTGCAACCAATCGGAAGCCGCACCTCAGTTTTTGAAAATTTCGGAAGCTGAACAGGCTTCCAGAATAGATTATGTTTGATGACTGAGGTTTGATTGTAGTTTATGCACGTCTTATGTATTGTCTAGTTTGACCCTCAAGTATGGGAAGTTCCTAAAACAGGACATGTTAGTATTAATGAAAGTTGCACAGTACATAGATTTATACACTACCATGCAAGTAGGAGTAAAACAAGAACCAAGCAAAAAAGGTTATGAAAAATATATGGTCTGATCTGATTCAGAAGCCTGTTATTAAACTGCTTATGAAAGGGAATCTTTCCAGCACCCCTAATATCTTACGCCCAAGCATTCTGCTATGAATGGCTGGGGCAGCCCAGGACTCAGCTACATTACTCGTGTTACAATGCTATAACTGCGTCATAAACATGCGACACCACATGGTGCTGTAGAGCTAAAAACATTGTCTATGCAATTTTACATAGAGGTTTTTTCCTTTCGTTATGATTTAATTTATAACTTTTCATAGTGTTTTTTCTGCGTGTAGATTCAGCCCCTAGTCAGATGGGCAGGTGCAATTAATAAAATTATTATTATTATTACGTGAGAAATGTAGTTTATATTTTTGCTCAGCCTTCAGTGAAGCAAAATGTAAAAGAAGAACGCATGTTTACCTACCTTATCTGACTGCAGTTGCCCACAAGGAAATGTTCAGTCTAACATAACCTTGATTATCTGGATGCCATAGGAAACATTTAATCTGATAGCTGATGACAGCACTTGTTTTATCTGATGCTTCCAACTTTTCAGAATGCTAGTTCAGCAGGAACTCTGCAGGCAAATGTCATAGCATTAGTACTATCTGGGGTAAAATTTTGCAGCGTTCCTGGAGAGGGGAAACCCAGCTCTTTATCACAAAGCGATAAGCTTCAGAAACTTAAACATACCTTGCCAGGTTCTCCTCTGAGTTCTTGTGCCCTTTTCAGGTCACATTCCTCCCTTGTGATAGTTTTGCTGTTATGTCTACCCCCATTTCCCTCCCTCAGTATTTAATCTACAGTGGTACCTCTGGTTGCGAACGGAATCCTTTCCGGAGCCTCATTCGCAACCTGCAAGGAACGCAACTAGCATCTGCGCATGCACGGGTCATTATTTGCCGCTTTTGCGCATGCGCATGCCATCATTTTGCACGTCTGCACATGCGCAAGCGGTGAAACCCGGAAGTAACCCTTTCTGGTACTTCCGGGTCACTGCAGGACGCAACCTGAAAAGACGTAACCTGAAGCAAACGTAATAAGAGGTATGACTGTATATTGAATCATCACATTGATCAATGTAATTTGTCGCCATATTTTTCCACAGAAAGAAGAATCTAAACGGTTCTGTGGGTGCTAACATTCTGGCCTCAAGTATTAGGACTTTGCTAGAGTTGAACCACTGTCACACATGGAGCTTAAAATGGATCAGTTCAACCAGACTGCGATGTGAATGAAGTGGCAGATCTCCGGGTCTCAAATTTCAGCGGCATGCTTTGTGACACTGAAATTTGGTGCTCCTCTGCCTCTCACACGCCATTCTAAATCATAATTGTTGCACCTCCAAGGCTCTGAACCCAGTGCAACTGAACCGGTCACCGTTCCCAAAATCTGCCTCTGGGTGATTGCAGTCCTGCATTGATCAGAATGCTGACTCGTGTCACAGATACATCCCTCCTTCCTTGGAGGTTTTTAAGGAGAGGTTGGATGGCCAGCTGTCATGGATGATGTAGCTGTGATTTCTGCATTGCAAGGGGTTGGGCTTAATAATAATAATAATAATAATAATAATAATAATAAAATATTATTTATACCCCAGCCACTCTGGGCGGCTTCCAATTGAGTGTTAAAAACAATACAGCATTACCCTTGGGGGTCCCTTCCAGCTTTACGTTTCTATGATTCTGCTTTCTCGCCCTCGTTTACAACAACCAGACACATCATGTAAATAACAGGAAGTTTCAAAGTCAGTTTAAGTGTTCTTAATCCAAATTGCTGGATTGACTGTTGGACTATAGTGAGTGCCTCATTTTGAATAGTGAGTGCTGTGATGATTAGGGTTTAGGATTTATTTTAAATACCAAGAAAATACACAAAAGACCAGGGTCTCTGATCAGGTGGCAGGGGAAAGTCTCTGTCTGAGATTCTAAAGAGCCACTGTCATTAAACTAGACAGCACTTGGCTGGATGGTGAAAAAGCCGGACTGTACAGCATAGAGATAGAAAAAAGGCTAGAATCATTCTGTCACAGCCCTTATTGGTTGGTACTTCCAGTGTAAGATTTAACTACGGTAGTTTCCCCACTCTAATTTTCTGTGGAAAGTATATAGGATTTTCAGCACAGAAATGCCAAGAGGTAGGGCAGGGGTAGCCAACATTATAACTATATTTATTTATACCCCACCTTTTCCCCTGATGGGACTAAAACCAGCTTACAGATTAAAAAAAAAGAACTGCTAAAAAGCAATAATTAAAACAATTAAAATAATTAAATAAGAATTATTAAATAATTCTTAAAAGAATTAAAAATATTTCTTATTATTAAATAATTAAAAAGAACTGCTAAAAAGCAATAATCAAAGAAAAAAGCAATAATTAAAACACAAGGAAGCATTGATAGAATTAAAACTATACTATATATAAAGCTATAAAATCTATTGAAAGTCTGGGAGCAGCCACCAAGAAGATGCCCTATTGATGCTGTTTGACTACAAATCCCATCATCCCTGAACACTGGCCATGGTCGCTGATGCTGATGGGCACTGGAGTCCAATGACATCAGGAGGGCATCACATTGCCTATCTCTGGCACAGGGTGAAGAAGACATTTATGTATCAGGAAAACACTAAATGCACCTGATGTTTATAGTCCAGGAAAGTTTATGCCATAATAAATGTGTTAGCCTTTCAGGTGCCCCAAGACTACTTGTTTTAATCATAGTGTGTAAATAACAAGTTGGATTCACATAGGAAGCTGCCTTAAACCAGGTCAGACTATTTGTCCATCTATCCCAATATTGTCTGTTCTGACTGGCAGCAGCTCCCAGGGACTCAGACAGAAAGGTCTTTCTCATCACCTCCTACCCAAATTGAAGATGCCAGGGCTTGACCCTGGCACTATTTACATGCAAGGCCTGAGCTACCCTGCTGAACTTTGTCAACACTGGAAGCGTAATCTCAAAATACATGAAATTATGCGAGTTACTATACCAGGAAGCTACTCCACAGAAAATATTTCTGCAGAAATATGGATAAAACTAATTAAGCTCCTGCTATTTCTGTATAGTCCTATAGAACTCAATTAATTAGAACATACACTAACCTTTTATACAAGTTGGAAGCAACTTGTTCGATAGTTGAATGCAGAGCTTGCCTCAGGAAAGGACAAACACCATTGTCAGTGCCTTTTGAAAACTAGCTGTCTTATTTGCATAGCCTCTTCGTCTCTATGATGAAAAACCAAAGTCTCTGAGTGGTTGGATATGTGGTATTAACGCGTACAGAGTCTTGCGTGCTAACAGGCTGGTTTGTGGCTTTCTTAGAAGCAATGGGTATGACTCTAGTAGAGTTTCCCTTCTCTAAGTCATGACGGAAATGTTTTTTCATTTCACTCTTGCGTCAGGCATAAAACATTCTTTCTGTCATTTACTTTCTGCTGCATCCCTGTTGCCCGTTACTGGAGAGTAAGACCCCTTGAAAAGTCATGACATTTACTGCTGAGCTAACCTGTGTAACGCAACACACTTAGATGGTATTGGTTAACTTACTTGTTTGTTTGAGGACACCGTTAAATGCACCTAGAGAGCACACTACACCGGGCAAATGAGAACTGTCAAATCAGAATAAAATTTTATACAGATCAGTGTTTTGTTCTGTTTGTACTAGATTCAGTGCTTTTTTCTGCGGGGACTCAGGGGTACGCATACCCCTAAACATTCTGTGAATCTACGTTTGGCCTCATTGAGGGGCAGTATTTCAATATGAGTAGGGAAATGAAATTATCCCTAAACATTTTTTTAAAGAAAAAAAGCACCAGCTAGATCTGTTATGATTCTATATGAAGATAAGAATGATCATATATCCATAGTTCTGGAAGGCTTCCATGAACTCATGAACAGAGGCAGTTTTAGTCGTATGACCAGTTTGTATCCCTTCAGCTGAGGTAACAGAGCTAAGTGATTACTAGCTGTTGAACTTCTACTCCCATTATTCCTGAACATTGGGCATGCTAGCCGGGCTGCTGAAAGGTGAAACCGAGGGCACCATGTTGACTATCTATATATCAGATCATGACCTTGATGGATGATGAAGAATATATTTCACTTGAAATAAGTCAGGTGAGGACCACTTCATATACTTATGCACCTTCAGTAGGCTGGCCATCGCTTGCTGGTGAACATGTCTTCATTTGATAGATGGGGAAGCAGAAAGGACCGACTTTGACCTTGCAAGGGCTTCATGCTCTTTATTCTAAAGCTGGTGTGCCTAAGCACCAAACCAAATGTGATGGAGACAATGGGCTCGGATGCCCTCTTCTCCTAAAAGGAGTCACGTGTGGGGTTGGGATGATTTGGAATAGGGCTGCCATGCTTGGGCGGGGCGGGGGGAGGGGGGGAGGTCTAACCCTTCCTGCTGACTCCTGACATGTATCCCTCTTGCAGTTGCTTTTAGGAAGAGAAAAGTGCATCTGGGATCACAGATTCCCTAACTCACCTGTAGTTTGGCCCTAAGAATCATGAATCAGAAAGTTCTCTGTACGAATCTCACCTCTGCTATGAACTCTCTACTTTGAGCATGTCCTTGGAAACCTTCTCATCCCTGCCCTTCTCCTTCCTCCCTTCTATAACACAGGCTATAACACGGGTAGGCAAACTAAGGCCCGGGGGCCGGATCCGGCCCAATTGCCTTCTAAATCCGGCCTGTGGACGGTCCAGGAGTCAGCATGTTTTTACATGAGTAGAATGTGTCCTTTTATTTAAAATGTATCTCTGGGTTATTTGTGGGGCATAGGAATTCATTCATTTTTTTTCTTTCCAAAATATAGTCTGCCCCCCCCCAAGGTCTGAGGGACAGGGGACCAGCCCCGTTTGCTGACCCCTGGGCTATAATAACCATGGTTGGCCTTGCAAAGAATTACTGTATAACCTGTGCCAAGTGTTTTGTGCACACTAAAAAAGTGTTATAACGGTTTATTATTATAGCATAGCTGATGAATTTCAGCTTTGGAAAGTCATAACATTGTGGGCTTGTATTTTTCTATGACACTCTGCATGATCTACACTCCTTCTTCTGTCTAACATTTTTTCTTTCTTTCATCCCACACCTCCGTTATAAACGGATGCAATTATCCTCCCTGTTAAAACATCCTTATGAAAAGCCTAATCTGCAGACAGCAAACTTGAGTCTATTGGAATGAGCATATATTAATTTTAATTCCACGAGGCATGTCCGTTCTGTTAACAGCTTTTGTCTAACATTCCATTATATACATACATTTTAAAAACATGTTTCACTAGATATTTAATTGCTTCGAAATATTCCAAGCCAGTTTTGGAGCCAATCTCTGGAAAGTTTCAGGATGTGGGTGGGAGAGTCACAGCTATTTTCAGGGTTGAGAAAACATGAAAAATGCCATTTTGGATGCATGTTTTACATCTATGTAATTGTGAAGTAGGAAAGATGTATAGTCTGGGGCTTTGCATTATGGGTATTTTTGTTTTTTTAAGCAGCAGTGCCACTCACCTTCCACTAAAATAGCCATATGAGAGCCTGGGGTGGAGAGAGTGGCTGCAGAGCTGGATGTAGCCAGTGAGGGGCCCTTCTGAGCCCCCGTGGCCCTTGGCCAGTGCCCAACCTGGTACCAGTAAATATTTGCCTTTACTGAACAGCTTCTCCTTCTTCAATTCCATGGTGCTGTTGTTTGCTGGAGGCGGTTGGAGGATGGATTGTGGCTAACGGATTGAGGTTGAATCCTGATACGACAGAAGTACTGTTTTTGGGGGAGAGGGTGGGCGGGGGGTGGGGGACTCCCTGGTCCTGAATGGGGTAACTGTGCCCTTGAAGGTCCAGGTACGCAGCCGGGGAGTTATTTTGGACTCACAGCTGTCCGTGGAGGCGCAGGTCAATTCTGTGTCCAGGGCAGCTGTCTACCAGTCCCATCTGGTACGCAGGCTGAGACCCTACCTGCCCGCAGACTGTCTCACCAGAGAGGTGCATGCTCTAGTTATCTCCCGCTTGGACTACTGCAACGCGCTCTACGTGGGGCTACCTTTGAAGGTGACCCGAAAACTACAACTAATCCAGAATGCAGCAGCTAGACTGGTGATTGGGAGCGGCCGCCGAGGCCACATAACACCGCTCTTGAAAGACCTACATTGGCTCCCAGTACATTTCCGAGCACAATTCAAAGTGTTGGTGCTGACCTTTAAAGCCCTAAACAGCCTCAGTCCTGTATACCTGAAGGAGCATCTCCACCCCCATCATTCAACTGAGGTCCAGCGCCGAGGGCCTTCTGGCAGTTCCCTCATTGCGAGAAGCGAAGTTCCAGGGAACCAGGCAGAGGGCCTTCTTGGTAGTGGCGCCTGCCCTTTGAAACGCCCTCCCATCAGATGTCAAAGAAATAAACAACTATCTGATGTTTTAGAAGACATCTGAAGGCAGCCCTGTTTAGGGAAGTTTTTAATGACTGATGTTCTAATGTATTTTTAATATTTTGTTGGAAGCCACCCATAGTGGCTGGGGAAATTCCGCCAGATGGGCGGGTATAAATAAATTATTATTATTATTATTACATCATGAAAGGCTGCTGCAATGTATTGCAAAATTAGCCCAGGGAAACTCCCATCCTGCACTAGCTGTGAGAAAGCAGCCAAAGTAACTGGGGATCCAAGTAGATATTTAATTTCCTGCCATTGTTGTCTGCTTTTCGGAATGGCAGGAACCTTTCCAAAGGCTTCAACAGTGCAGATGGGACAATGCTCTCCCCTGCACTTGACGGCAGCAGGAGATGTAGGGCACACCACATATTGTATTTCTGCCCTCCAACATCTTTCCCATCCACCCTGCAGCGATTGTCTGCCTCACTCTGCCTAATCTATCTGAAATGTCATACCCCCATGAAAGAACTGGTCACATCTTTTCTTTTAATTCTTTCTTCCTCTTTTAAAAATAGTACTGCTTTCTCAGTGTGGGAAATGCAACCAGCCAGCTAGCAAATAATTATTTTTTTCCAGTAAAACGTCACTTTCGGAAATGCCAGTGTGTGGGGAGGTGAATCAGGTGGCCTGGCTGCATTTCAGTGTTTTGCACAAGTCTTTTCATTGCACGCAGGGAAAAGTACACAGTGGCTGAAGACTTTTTAAGAAAACCAGTCGACGAAATCGCAAAATTGCTAGCTAATATTTGCGTATATCGACAGGCCTATATTACATTCATTTACAGTTCCCGGTCTCCTGAGCAGGGCAACGTTTCAGAAGCAGAGTTATCTGGGTCTGACTTCCTGAACAATGAAGACTTTTGGTGTCTTTGCAATATTTGCTTTATTAAAAAATACACAAGTAGAGCATAGCACCGGTGGAAGCAAGTAGCACAAATACTCCTAGGAAGCCGCAGGCCTGTTATTTCAGGGCATATTCAGACTTCCTTTTGTGCCACATTTCTAGGTACTCTTTAAACCAGTGGGTCTGAGTTCTTTAATTTTTGTCCCAGCGCTTTCCCCATGAAAACCCGCTATTTACTGCTAATTTGGAGTAAACTGCAATCCACAGTGAAATATGCTCGGAGTCGAGAGTGGATTTCATTCTCTTTATTCAGGTGAGGTGAATGAAAGTTTCCCCAAAATATCTGCTTTATTTACATTATTTACACAATGAGCTGCACATGATTGGCTAATTCCGGGATTCTCCTGTAAGCTAATCAGGTTGTGGATTTACTTCAACCTGGAGCTGGATTGGGTGGCTCCTGCAGACCAATCATACTGCTGCATTGTTCTCGGACCAATCAGACTGGTGCATTTTGGATTCTATTGTTCTAGGACCAATCAGACTGCTTCATTTTGCATCCTATTCAACTCAGTACATAACACACAGAAAACCCCAATTGCTGTTTGTCTGGATTTAAAGAGCAGGGGGTCTTTTTTTAGGGAAAGTGGTGGGACGGGGGGGGGACCGGGGACCCAGTGTGGATGAGCCCTCACATCAAGTCTACACAGAGAGATGCATGTACGTGAAGGAGCTTTCAGAGTAGATCACTGTTAGCTCTCAGTTCTCTTTCTCTCCCCCTCCCCCTCTCTCTTTACAAAAACTGCAGTTTCTTTCACATAAAAACTTTAAGATCTACTCTTGGAGGGGCTGGAAGATGTCATCTTCTCTTCA